TCCTTTGCCCTTCCCCTCTCATCTCCTCGTTTTCCCCCTTGTCCTTTGCCCTTCCCCTCTCATCTCCTCGTTTTCCCCTTGTCCTTTGCCCTTCCCCTCTCATCTCCTCGTTTTCCCCTTGTCCTTTGCCCTTCCCCTCTCATCTCCTCGTTTTCCCCTTGTCCTTTGCCCTTCCCCTCTCATCTCCTCGTTTTCCCCTTGTCCTTTGCCCTTCCCCTCTCATCTCCTCGTTTTCCCCTTGTCCTTTGCCCTTCCCCTCTCATCTCCTCGTTTTCCCCTTGTCCTTTGCCCTTCCCCTCTCATCTCCTCGTTTTCCCCTTGTCCTTTGCCCTTCCCCTCTCATCTCCTCGTTTTCCCCTTGTCCTTTGCCTTTCCCCTCTCATCTCCTCGTTTTCCCCTTGTCCTTTGCCCTTCCCCTCTCATCTCCTCGTTTTCCCCTTGTCCTTTGCCCTTCCCCTCTCATCTCCTCGTTTTCCCCTTGTCCTTTGCCCTTCCCCTCTCATCTCCTCGTTTTCCCCTTGTCCTTTGCCCTTCCCCTCTCATCTCCTCGTTTTCCCCTTGTCCTTTGCCCTTCCCCTCTCATCTCCTCGTTTTCCCCATGTCCTTTGCCCTTCCCCTCTCATCTCCTCGTTTTCCCCATGTCCTTTGCCCTTCCCCTCTCATCTCCTCGTTTTCCCCATGTCCTTTGCCCTTCCCCTCTCATCTCCTCGTTTTCCCCATGTCCTTTGCCCTTCCCCTCTCATCTCCTCGTTTTCCCCTTGTCCTTTGCCCTTCCCCTCTCATCTCCTCGTTTTCCCCATGTCCTTTGCCCTTCCCCTCTCATCTCCTCGTTTTCCCCTTGTCCTTTGCCCTTCCCCTCTCATCTCCTCGTTTTCCCCTTGTCCTTTGCCCTTCCCCTCTCATCTCCTCGTTTTCCCCATGTCCTTTGCCCTTCCCCTCTCATCTCCTCGTTTTCCCCTTGTCCTTTGCCCTTCCCCTCTCATCTCCTCGTTTTCCCCTTGTCCTTTGCCCTTCCCCTCTCATCTCCTCGTTTTCCCCCTTGTCCTTTGCCCTTCCCCTCTCATCTCCTCGTTTTCCCCATGTCCTTTGCCCTTCCCCTCTCATCTCCTCGTTTTCCCCATGTCCTTTGCCCTTCCCCTCTCATCTCCTCGTTTTCCCCATGTCCTTTGCCCTTCCCCTCTCATCTCCTCGTTTTCCCCATGTCCTTTGCCCTTCCCCTCTCATCTCCTCGTTTTCCCCTTGTCCTTTGCCCTTCCCCTCTCATCTCCTCGTTTTCCCCTTGTCCTTTGCCCTTCCCCTCTCATCTCCTCGTTTTCCCCTTGTCCTTTGCCTTTCCCCTCTCATCTCCTCGTTTTCCCCTTGTCCTTTGCCCTTCCCCTCTCATCTCCTCGTTTTCCCCTTGTCCTTTGCCCTTCCCCTCTCATCTCCTCGTTTTCCCCTTGTCCTTTGCCCTTCCCCTCTCATCTCCTCGTTTTCCCCATGTCCTTTGCCCTTCCCCTCTCATCTCCTCGTTTTCCCCATGTCCTTTGCCCTTCCCCTCTCATCTCCTCGTTTTCCCCTTGTCCTTTGCCCTTCCCCTCTCATCTCCTCGTTTTCCCCTTGTCCTTTGCCCTTCCCCTCTCATCTCCTCGTTTTCCCCTTGTCCTTTGCCCTTCCCCTCTCATCTCCTCGTTTTCCCCATGTCCTTTGCCCTTCCCCTCTCATCTCCTCGTTTTCCCCATGTCCTTTGCCCTTCCCCTCTCATCTCCTCGTTTTCCCCATGTCCTTTGCCCTTCCCCTCTCATCTCCTCGTTTTCCCCCTTGTCCTTTGCCCTTCCCCTCTCATCTCCTCGTTTTCCCCTTGTCCTTTGCCCTTCCCCTCTCATCTCCTCGTTTTCCCCTTGTCCTTTGCCCTTCCCCTCTCATCTCCTCGTTTTCCCCTTGTCCTTTGCCCTTCCCCTCTCATCTCCTCGTTTTCCCCTTGTCCTTTGCCCTTCCCCTCTCATCTCCTCGTTTTCCCCTTGTCCTTTGCCCTTCCCCTCTCATCTCCTCGTTTTCCCCTTGTCCTTTGCCCTTCCCCTCTCATCTCCTCGTTTTCCCCTTGTCCTTTGCCCTTCCCCTCTCATCTCCTCGTTTTCCCCTTGTCCTTTGCCCTTCCCCTCTCATCTCCTCGTTTTCCCCTTGTCCTTTGCCCTTCCCCTCTCATCTCCTCGTTTTCCCCTTGTCCTTTGCCCTTCCCCTCTCATCTCCTCGTTTTCCCCTTGTCCTTTGCCCTTCCCCTCTCATCTCCTCGTTTTCCCCTTGTCCTTTGCCCTTCCCCTCTCATCTCCTCGTTTTCCCCTTGTCCTTTGCCCTTCCCCTCTCATCTCCTCGTTTTCCCCTTGTCCTTTGCCCTTCCCCTCTCATCTCCTCGTTTTCCCCTTGTCCTTTGCCCTTCCCCTCTCATCTCCTCGTTTTCCCCTTGTCCTTTGCCCTTCCCCTCTCATCTCCTCGTTTTCCCCATGTCCTTTGCCCTTCCCCTCTCATCTCCTCGTTTTCCCCATGTCCTTTGCCCTTCCCCTCTCATCTCCTCGTTTTCCCCTGTCCTTTGCCCTTCCCCTCTCATCTCCTCGTTTTCCCCATGTCCTTTGCCCTTCCCCTCTCATCTCCTCGTTTTCCCCTTGTCCTTTGCCCTTCCCCTCTCATCTCCTCGTTTTCCCCTTGTCCTTTGCCCTTCCCCTCTCATCTCCTCGTTTTCCCCTTGTCCTTTGCCCTTCCCCTCTCATCTCCTCGTTTTCCCCATGTCCTTTGCCCTTCCCCTCTCATCTCCTCGTTTTCCCCTTGTCCTTTGCCCTTCCCCTCTCATCTCCTCGTTTTCCCCCTGTCCTTTGCCCTTCCCCTCTCATCTCCTCGTTTTCCCCATGTCCTTTGCCCTTCCCCTCTCATCTCCTCGTTTTCCCCATGTCCTTTGCCCTTCCCCTCTCATCTCCTCGTTTTCCCCCTTGTCCTTTGCCCTTCCCCTCTCATCTCCTCGTTTTCCCCATGTCCTTTGCCCTTCCCCTCTCATCTCCTCGTTTTCCCCTTGTCCTTTGCCCTTCCCCTCTCATCTCCTCGTTTTCCCCATGTCCTTTGCCCTTCCCCTCTCATCTCCTCGTTTTCCCCTTGTCCTTTGCCCTTCCCCTCTCATCTCCTCGTTTTCCCCTTGTCCTTTGCCCTTCCCCTCTCATCTCCTCGTTTTCCCCTGTCCTTTGCCCTTCCCCTCTCATCTCCTCGTTTTCCCCTTGTCCTTTGCCCTTCCCCTCTCATCTCCTCGTTTTCCCCTTGTCCTTTGCCTTCCCCTCTCATCTCCTCGTTTTCCCCTTGTCCTTTGCCCTTCCCCTCTCATCTCCTCGTTTTCCCCTTGTCCTTTGCCCTTCCCCTCTCATCTCCTCGTTTTCCCCTTGTCCTTTGCCCTTCCCCTCTCATCTCCTCGTTTTCCCCTTGTCCTTTGCCCTTCCCCTCTCATCTCCTCGTTTTCCCCTTGTCCTTTGCCCTTCCCCTCTCATCTCCTCGTTTTCCCCTTGTCCTTTGCCCTTCCCCTCTCATCTCCTCGTTTTCCCCTTGTCCTTTGCCCTTCCCCTCTCATCTCCTCGTTTTCCCCTTGTCCTTTGCCCTTCCCCTCTCATCTCCTCGTTTTCCCCTTGTCCTTTGCCCTTCCCCTCTCATCTCCTCGTTTTCCCCTTGTCCTTTGCCCTTCCCCTCTCATCTCCTCGTTTTCCCCTTGTCCTTTGCCCTTCCCCTCTCATCTCCTCGTTTTCCCCTTGTCCTTTGCCCTTCCCCTCTCATCTCCTCGTTTTCCCCTTGTCCTTTGCCCTTCCCCTCTCATCTCCTCGTTTTCCCCTTGTCCTTTGCCCTTCCCCTCTCATCTCCTCGTTTTCCCCTTGTCCTTTGCCCTTCCCCTCTCATCTCCTCGTTTTCCCCTTGTCCTTTGCCCTTCCCCTCTCATCTCCTCGTTTTCCCCTTGTCCTTTGCCCTTCCCCTCTCATCTCCTCGTTTTCCCCTTGTCCTTTGCCCTTCCCCTCTCATCTCCTCGTTTTCCCCTTGTCCTTTGCCCTTCCCCTCTCATCTCCTCGTTTTCCCCATTGTCCTTTGCCCTTCCCCTCTCATCTCCTCGTTTTCCCCTTGTCCTTTGCCCTTCCCCTCTCATCTCCTCGTTTTCCCCTTGTCCTTTGCCCTTCCCCTCTCATCTCCTCGTTTTCCCCTTGTCCTTTGCCCTTCCCCTCTCATCTCCTCGTTTTCCCCTTGTCCTTTGCCCTTCCCCTCTCATCTCCTCGTTTTCCCCTTGTCCTTTGCCCTTCCCCTCTCATCTCCTCGTTTTCCCCATGTCCTTTGCCCTTCCCCTCTCATCTCCTCGTTTTCCCCATGTCCTTTGCCCTTCCCCTCTCATCTCCTCGTTTTCCCCATGTCCTTTGCCCTTCCCCTCTCATCTCCTCGTTTTCCCCATGTCCTTTGCCCTTCCCCTCTCATCTCCTCGTTTTCCCCTTGTCCTTTGCCCTTCCCCTCTCATCTCCTCGTTTTCCCCTTGTCCTTTGCCCTTCCCCTCTCATCTCCTCGTTTTCCCCTTGTCCTTTGCCCTTCCCCTCTCATCTCCTCGTTTTCCCCTTGTCCTTTGCCCTTCCCCTCTCATCTCCTCGTTTTCCCCTTGTCCTTTGCCCTTCCCCTCTCATCTCCTCGTTTTCCCCTTGTCCTTTGCCCTTCCCCTCTCATCTCCTCGTTTTCCCCATGTCCTTTGCCCTTCCCCTCTCATCTCCTCGTTTTCCCCATGTCCTTGCCCTTCCCCTCTCATCTCCTCGTTTTCCCCTTGTCCTTTGCCCTTCCCCTCTCATCTCCTCGTTTTCCCCATTGTCCTTTGCCCTTCCCCTCTCATCTCCTCGTTTTCCCCTTGTCCTTTGCCCTTCCCCTCTCATCTCCTCGTTTTCCCCCTTGTCCTTTGCCCTTCCCCTCTCATCTCCTCGTTTTCCCCATGTCCTTTGCCCTTCCCCTCTCATCTCCTCGTTTTCCCCATGTCCTTTGCCCTTCCCCTCTCATCTCCTCGTTTTCCCCATTGTCCTTTGCCCTTCCCCTCTCATCTCCTCGTTTTCCCCTTGTCCTTTGCCCTTCCCCTCTCATCTCCTCGTTTTCCCCTTGTCCTTTGCCCTTCCCCTCTCATCTCCTCGTTTTCCCCTTGTCCTTTGCCCTTCCCCTCTCATCTCCTCGTTTTCCCCTTGTCCTTTGCCCTTCCCCTCTCATCTCCTCGTTTTCCCCTTGTCCTTTGCCCTTCCCCTCTCATCTCCTCGTTTTCCCCTTGTCCTTTGCCCTTCCCCTCTCATCTCCTCGTTTTCCCCTTGTCCTTTGCCCTTCCCCTCTCATCTCCTCGTTTTCCCCTTGTCCTTTGCCCTTCCCCTCTCATCTCCTCGTTTTCCCCTTGTCCTTTGCCCTTCCCCTCTCATCTCCTCGTTTTCCCCTTGTCCTTTGCCCTTCCCCTCTCATCTCCTCGTTTTCCCCTTGTCCTTTGCCCTTCCCCTCTCATCTCCTCGTTTTCCCCTTGTCCTTTGCCCTTCCCCTCTCATCTCCTCGTTTTCCCCTTGTCCTTTGCCCTTCCCCTCTCATCTCCTCGTTTTCCCCTTGTCCTTTGCCCTTCCCCTCTCATCTCCTCGTTTTCCCCTTGTCCTTTGCCCTTCCCCTCTCATCTCCTCGTTTTCCCCTTGTCCTTTGCCCTTCCCCTCTCATCTCCTCGTTTTCCCCTTGTCCTTTGCCCTTCCCCTCTCATCTCCTCGTTTTCCCCTTGTCCTTTGCCCTTCCCCTCTCATCTCCTCGTTTTCCCCATTGTCCTTTGCCCTTCCCCTCTCATCTCCTCGTTTTCCCCATGTCCTTTGCCCTTCCCTCTCATCTCCTCGTTTTCCCCTTGTCCTTTGCCCTTCCCCTCTCATCTCCTCGTTTTCCCCATGTCCTTTGCCCTTCCCCTCTCATCTCCTCGTTTTCCCCTTGTCCTTTGCCCTTCCCCTCTCATCTCCTCGTTTTCCCCTTGTCCTTTGCCCTTCCCCTCTCATCTCCTCGTTTTCCCATTGTCCTTTGCCCTTCCCCTCTCATCTCCTCGTTTTCCCCTTGTCCTTTGCCCTTCCCCTCTCATCTCCTCGTTTTCCCCTTGTCCTTTGCCCTTCCCCTCTCATCTCCTCGTTTTCCCCTTGTCCTTTGCCCTTCCCCTCTCATCTCCTCGTTTTCCCCATGTCCTTTGCCCTTCCCCTCTCATCTCCTCGTTTTCCCCATGTCCTTTGCCCTTCCCCTCTCATCTCCTCGTTTTCCCCATGTCCTTTGCCCTTCCCCTCTCATCTCCTCGTTTTCCCCCTTGTCCTTTGCCCTTCCCCTCTCATCTCCTCGTTTTCCCCTTGTCCTTTGCCCTTCCCCTCTCATCTCCTCGTTTTCCCCTTGTCCTTTGCCCTTCCCCTCTCATCTCCTCGTTTTCCCCTTGTCCTTTGCCCTTCCCCTCTCATCTCCTCGTTTTCCCCTTGTCCTTTGCCCTTCCCCTCTCATCTCCTCGTTTTCCCCTTGTCCTTTGCCCTTCCCCTCTCATCTCCTCGTTTTCCCCTTGTCCTTTGCCCTTCCCCTCTCATCTCCTCGTTTTCCCCATGTCCTTTGCCCTTCCCCTCTCATCTCCTCGTTTTCCCCCATGTCCTTTGCCCTTCCCCTCTCATCTCCTCGTTTTCCCCATGTCCTTTGCCCTTCCCCTCTCATCTCCTCGTTTTCCCCATGTCCTTTGCCCTTCCCCTCTCATCTCCTCGTTTTCCCCTTGTCCTTTGCCCTTCCCCTCTCATCTCCTCGTTTTCCCCCTTGTCCTTTGCCCTTCCCCTCTCATCTCCTCGTTTTCCCCTTGTCCTTTGCCCTTCCCCTCTCATCTCCTCGTTTTCCCCTTGTCCTTTGCCCTTCCCCTCTCATCTCCTCGTTTTCCCCTTGTCCTTTGCCCTTCCCCTCTCATCTCCTCGTTTTCCCCATGTCCTTTGCCCTTCCCCTCTCATCTCCTCGTTTTCCCCATGTCCTTTGCCCTTCCCCTCTCATCTCCTCGTTTTCCCCTTGTCCTTTGCCCTTCCCCTCTCATCTCCTCGTTTTCCCCATGTCCTTTGCCCTTCCCCTCTCATCTCCTCGTTTTCCCCTTGTCCTTTGCCCTTCCCCTCTCATCTCCTCGTTTTCCCCTTGTCCTTTGCCCTTCCCCTCTCATCTCCTCGTTTTCCCCTTGTCCTTTGCCCTTCCCCTCTCATCTCCTCGTTTTCCCCTTGTCCTTTGCCCTTCCCCTCTCATCTCCTCGTTTTTCCCCTTGTCCTTTGCCCTTCCCCTCTCATCTCCTCGTTTTCCCCTTGTCCTTTGCCCTTCCCCTCTCATCTCCTCGTTTTCCCCCTTGTCCTTTGCCCTTCCCCTCTCATCTCCTCGTTTTCCCCTTGTCCTTTGCCCTTCCCCTCTCATCTCCTCGTTTTCCCCTTGTCCTTTGCCCTTCCCCTCTCATCTCCTCGTTTTCCCATTGTCCTTTGCCCTTCCCCTCTCATCTCCTCGTTTTCCCCATGTCCTTTGCCCTTCCCCTCTCATCTCCTCGTTTTCCCATGTCCTTTGCCCTTCCCCTCTCATCTCCTCGTTTTCCCCATGTCCTTTGCCCTTCCCCTCTCATCTCCTCGTTTTCCCCTTGTCCTTTGCCCTTCCCCTCTCATCTCCTCGTTTTCCCCTTGTCCTTTGCCCTTCCCCTCTCATCTCCTCGTTTTCCCCCTTGTCCTTTGCCCTTCCCCTCTCATCTCCTCGTTTTCCCCTTGTCCTTTGCCCTTCCCCTCTCATCTCCTCGTTTTCCCCTTGTCCTTTGCCCTTCCCCTCTCATCTCCTCGTTTTCCCCATGTCCTTTGCCCTTCCCCTCTCATCTCCTCGTTTTCCCCTTGTCCTTTGCCCTTCCCCTCTCATCTCCTCGTTTTCCCCTTGTCCTTTGCCCTTCCCCTCTCATCTCCTCGTTTTCCCCTTGTCCTTTGCCCTTCCCCTCTCATCTCCTCGTTTTCCCCATGTCCTTTGCCCTTCCCTCTTCATCTCCTCGTTTTCCCCATGTCCTTTGCCCTTCCCCTCTCATCTCCTCGTTTTCCCCATGTCCTTTGCCCTTCCCCTCTCATCTCCTCGTTTTCCCCATGTCCTTTGCCCTTCCCCTCTCATCTCCTCGTTTTCCCCTTGTCCTTTGCCCTTCCCCTCTCATCTCCTCGTTTTCCCCTTGTCCTTTGCCCTTCCCCTCTCATCTCCTCGTTTTCCCCTTGTCCTTTGCCCTTCCCCTCTCATCTCCTCGTTTTCCCCTTGTCCTTTGCCCTTCCCCTCTCATCTCCTCGTTTTCCCCTTGTCCTTTGCCCTTCCCCTCTCATCTCCTCGTTTTCCCCTTGTCCTTTGCCCTTCCCCTCTCATCTCCTCGTTTTTCCCCCTTGTCCTTTGCCCTTCCCCTCTCATCTCCTCGTTTTCCCCATGTCCTTTGCCCTTCCCCTCTCATCTCCTCGTTTTCCCCATGTCCTTTGCCCTTCCCCTCTCATCTCCTCGTTTTCCCCATGTCCTTTGCCCTTCCCCTCTCATCTCCTCGTTTTCCCCTTGTCCTTTGCCCTTCCCCTCTCATCTCCTCGTTTTCCCCATGTCCTTTGCCCTTCCCCTCTCATCTCCTCGTTTTCCCCTTGTCCTTTGCCCTTCCCCTCTCATCTCCTCGTTTTCCCCCTTGTCCTTTGCCCTTCCCCTCTCATCTCCTCGTTTTCCCCTTGTCCTTTGCCCTTCCCCTCTCATCTCCTCGTTTTCCCCATGTCCTTTGCCCTTCCCCTCTCATCTCCTCGTTTTCCCCATGTCCTTTGCCCTTCCCCTCTCATCTCCTCGTTTTCCCCATGTCCTTTGCCCTTCCCCTCTCATCTCCTCGTTTTCCCCATTGTCCTTTGCCCTTCCCCTCTCATCTCCTCGTTTTCCCCTTGTCCTTTGCCCTTCCCCTCTCATCTCCTCGTTTTCCCCTTGTCCTTTGCCCTTCCCCTCTCATCTCCTCGTTTTCCCCTTGTCCTTTGCCCTTCCCCTCTCATCTCCTCGTTTTCCCCTTGTCCTTTGCCCTTCCCCTCTCATCTCCTCGTTTTCCCCTTGTCCTTTGCCCTTCCCCTCTCATCTCCTCGTTTTCCCCTTGTCCTTTGCCCTTCCCCTCTCATCTCCTCGTTTTCCCCTTGTCCTTTGCCCTTCCCCTCTCATCTCCTCGTTTTCCCCTTGTCCTTTGCCCTTCCCCTCTCATCTCCTCGTTTTCCCCTTGTCCTTTGCCCTTCCCCTCTCATCTCCTCGTTTTCCCCTTGTCCTTTGCCCTTCCCCTCTCATCTCCTCGTTTTCCCCTTGTCCTTTGCCCTTCCCCTCTCATCTCCTCGTTTTCCCCATGTCCTTTGCCCTTCCCCTCTCATCTCCTCGTTTTCCCCTTGTCCTTTGCCCTTCCCCTCTCATCTCCTCGTTTTCCCCTGTCCTTTGCCCTTCCCCTCTCATCTCCTCGTTTTCCCCTTGTCCTTTGCCCTTCCCCTCTCATCTCCTCGTTTTCCCCTTGTCCTTTGCCCTTCCCCTCTCATCTCCTCGTTTTCCCCTTGTCCTTTGCCCTTCCCCTCTCATCTCCTCGTTTTCCCCTTGTCCTTTGCCCTTCCCCTCTCATCTCCTCGTTTTCCCCTTGTCCTTTGCCCTTCCCCTCTCATCTCCTCGTTTTCCCCTTGTCCTTTGCCCTTCCCCTCTCATCTCCTCGTTTTCCCCTGTCCTTTGCCCTTCCCCTCTCATCTCCTCGTTTTCCCCATGTCCTTTGCCCTTCCCCTCTCATCTCCTCGTTTTCCCCATGTCCTTTGCCCTTCCCCTCTCATCTCCTCGTTTTCCCCATGTCCTTTGCCCTTCCCCTCTCATCTCCTCGTTTTCCCCTTGTCCTTTGCCCTTCCCCTCTCATCTCCTCGTTTTCCCCTTGTCCTTTGCCCTTCCCCTCTCATCTCCTCGTTTTCCCCTTGTCCTTTGCCCTTCCCCTCTCATCTCCTCGTTTTCCCCTTGTCCTTTGCCCTTCCCCTCTCATCTCCTCGTTTTCCCCTTGTCCTTTGCCCTTCCCCTCTCATCTCCTCGTTTTCCCCTTGTCCTTTGCCTTCCCCTCTCATCTCCTCGTTTTCCCCTTGTCCTTTGCCCTTCCCCTCTCATCTCCTCGTTTTCCCCATGTCCTTTGCCCTTCCCCTCTCATCTCCTCGTTTTCCCCATTGTCCTTTGCCCTTCCCCTCTCATCTCCTCGTTTTCCCCTTGTCCTTTGCCCTTCCCCTCTCATCTCCTCGTTTTCCCCATGTCCTTTGCCCTTCCCCTCTCATCTCCTCGTTTTCCCCTTGTCCTTTGCCCTTCCCCTCTCATCTCCTCGTTTTCCCCCATGTCCTTTGCCCTTCCCCTCTCATCTCCTCGTTTTCCCCATGTCCTTTGCCCTTCCCCTCTCATCTCCTCGTTTTCCCCATGTCCTTTGCCCTTCCCCTCTCATCTCCTCGTTTTCCCCTTGTCCTTTGCCCTTCCCCTCTCATCTCCTCGTTTTCCCCTTGTCCTTTGCCCTTCCCCTCTCATCTCCTCGTTTTCCCCTTGTCCTTTGCCCTTCCCCTCTCATCTCCTCGTTTTCCCCTTGTCCTTTGCCCTTCCCTCTCATCTCCTCGTTTTCCCCTTGTCCTTTGCCCTTCCGCTCTCATCTCCTCGTTTTCCCCTTGTCCTTTGCCCTTCCCCTCTCATCTCCTCGTTTTCCCCTTGTCCTTTGCCCTTCCCCTCTCATCTCCTCGTTTTCCCCTTGTCCTTTGCCTTTCCCCTCTCATCTCCTCGTTTTCCCCTTGTCCTTTGCCCTTCCCCTCTCATCTCCTCGTTTTCCCCTTGTCCTTTGCCCTTCCCCTCTCATCTCCTCGTTTTCCCCTTGTCCTTTGCCCTTCCCCTCTCATCTCCTCGTTTTCCCCTTGTCCTTTGCCCTTCCCCTCTCATCTCCTCGTTTTCCCCTTGTCCTTTGCCCTTCCCCTCTCATCTCCTCGTTTTCCCCATGTCCTTTGCCCTTCCCCTCTCATCTCCTCGTTTTCCCCTTGTCCTTTGCCCTTCCCCTCTCATCTCCTCGTTTTCCCCTTGTCCTTTGCCCTTCCCCTCTCATCTCCTCGTTTTCCCCTTGTCCTTTGCCCTTCCCCTCTCATCTCCTCGTTTTCCCCTTGTCCTTTGCCCTTCCCCTCTCATCTCCTCGTTTTCCCCTTGTCCTTTGCCCTTCCCCTCTCATCTCCTCGTTTTCCCCTTGTCCTTTGCCCTTCCCCTCTCATCTCCTCGTTTTCCCCTTGTCCTTTGCCCTTCCCTCTCATCTCCTCGTTTTCCCCTTGTCCTTTGCCCTTCCCCTCTCATCTCCTCGTTTTCCCCTTGTCCTTTGCCCTTCCCCTCTCATCTCCTCGTTTTCCCCTTGTCCTTTGCCCTTCCCCTCTCATCTCCTCGTTTTCCCCTTGTCCTTTGCCCTTCCCCTCTCATCTCCTCGTTTTCCCCTTGTCCTTTGCCCTTCCCCTCTCATCTCCTCGTTTTCCCCTTGTCCTTTGCCCTTCCCCTCTCATCTCCTCGTTTTCCCCTTGTCCTTTGCCCTTCCCCTCTCATCTCCTCGTTTTCCCCTTGTCCTTTGCCCTTCCCCTCTCATCTCCTCGTTTTCCCCTTGTCCTTTGCCCTTCCCCTCTCATCTCCTCGTTTTCCCCATGTCCTTTGCCCTTCCCCTCTCATCTCCTCGTTTTCCCCATGTCCTTTGCCCTTCCCCTCTCATCTCCTCGTTTTCCCCATGTCCTTTGCCCTTCCCCTCTCATCTCCTCGTTTTCCCCATGTCCTTTGCCCTTCCCCTCTCATCTCCTCGTTTTCCCCTTGTCCTTTGCCCTTCCCCTCTCATCTCCTCGTTTTCCCCATGTCCTTTGCCCTTCCCCTCTCATCTCCTCGTTTTCCCCTTGTCCTTTGCCCTTCCCCTCTCATCTCCTCGTTTTCCCCTTGTCCTTTGCCCTTCCCCTCTCATCTCCTCGTTTTCCCCTTGTCCTTTGCCCTTCCCCTCTCATCTCCTCGTTTTCCCCTTGTCCTTTGCCCTTCCCCTCTCATCTCCTCGTTTTCCCCTTGTCCTTTGCCCTTCCCCTCTCATCTCCTCGTTTTCCCTGTCCTTTGCCCTTCCCCTCTCATCTCCTCGTTTTCCCCATGTCCTTTGCCCTTCCCCTCTCATCTCCTCGTTTTCCCCATGTCCTTTGCCCTTCCCCTCTCATCTCCTCGTTTTCCCCATGTCCTTTGCCCTTCCCCTCTCATCTCCTCGTTTTCCCCATTGTCCTTTGCCCTTCCCCTCTCATCTCCTCGTTTTCCCCTTGTCCTTTGCCCTTCCCCTCTCATCTCCTCGTTTTCCCCTTGTCCTTTGCCCTTCCCCTCTCATCTCCTCGTTTTCCCCTTGTCCTTTGCCCTTCCCCTCTCATCTCCTCGTTTTCCCCTTGTCCTTTGCCCTTCCCCTCTCATCTCCTCGTTTTCCCCATGTCCTTTGCCCTTCCCCTCTCAATCTCCTCGTTTTCCCCTTGTCCTTTGCCCTTCCCCTCTCATCTCCTCGTTTTCCCCTTGTCCTTTGCCCTTCCCCTCTCATCTCCTCGTTTTCCCCTTGTCCTTTGCCCTTCCCCTCTCATCTCCTCGTTTTCCCCATGTCCTTTGCCCTTCCCCTCTCATCTCCTCGTTTTCCCCATGTCCTTTGCCCTTCCCCTCTCATCTCCTCGTTTTCCCCATGTCCTTTGCCCTTCCCCTCTCATCTCCTCGTTTTCCCCTTGTCCTTTGCCCTTCCCCTCTCATCTCCTCGTTTTCCCCTTGTCCTTTGCCCTTCCCCTCTCATCTCCTCGTTTTCCCCCTTGTCCTTTGCCCTTCCCCTCTCATCTCCTCGTTTTCCCCTTGTCCTTTGCCCTTCCCCTCTCATCTCCTCGTTTTCCCCCTTGTCCTTTGCCCTTCCCCTCTCATCTCCTCGTTTTCCCCTTGTCCTTTGCCCTTCCCCTCTCATCTCCTCGTTTTCCCCTTGTCCTTTGCCCTTCCCCTCTCATCTCCTCGTTTTCCCCTTGTCCTTTGCCCTTCCCCTCTCATCTCCTCGTTTTCCCCCTTGTCCTTTGCCCTTCCCCTCTCATCTCCTCGTTTTCCCCATGTCCTTTGCCCTTCCCCTCTCATCTCCTCGTTTTCCCCTTGTCCTTTGCCCTTCCCCTCTCATCTCCTCGTTTTCCCCATGTCCTTTGCCCTTCCCCTCTCATCTCCTCGTTTTCCCCTTGTCCTTTGCCCTTCCCCTCTCATCTCCTCGTTTTCCCCTTGTCCTTTGCCCTTCCCCTCTCATCTCCTCGTTTTCCCCTTGTCCTTTGCCCTTCCCCTCTCATCTCCTCGTTTTCCCCCTTGTCCTTTGCCCTTCCCCTCTCATCTCCTCGTTTTCCCCATTGTCCTTTGCCCTTCCCCTCTCATCTCCTCGTTTTCCCCTTGTCCTTTGCCCTTCCCCTCTCATCTCCTCGTTTTCCCCTTGTCCTTTGCCCTTCCCCTCTCATCTCCTCGTTTTCCCCTTGTCCTTTGCCCTTCCCCTCTCATCTCCTCGTTTTCCCCTTGTCCTTTGCCCTTCCCCTCTCATCTCCTCGTTTTCCCCTTGTCCTTTGCCCTTCCCCTCTCATCTCCTCGTTTTCCCCATGTCCTTTGCCCTTCCCCTCTCATCTCCTCGTTTTCCCCATGTCCTTTGCCCTTCCCCTCTCATCTCCTCGTTTTCCCCATGTCCTTTGCCCTTCCCCTCTCATCTCCTCGTTTTCCCCATGTCCTTTGCCCTTCCCCTCTCATCTCCTCGTTTTCCCCATTGTCCTTTGCCCTTCCCCTCTCATCTCCTCGTTTTCCCCTTGTCCTTTGCCCTTCCCCTCTCATCTCCTCGTTTTCCCCTTGTCCTTTGCCCTTCCCCTCTCATCTCCTCGTTTTCCCCTTGTCCTTTGCCCTTCCCCTCTCATCTCCTCGTTTTCCCCTTGTCCTTTGCCCTTCCCCTCTCATCTCCTCGTTTTCCCCATTGTCCTTTGCCCTTCCCCTCTCATCTCCTCGTTTTCCCCATGTCCTTTGCCCTTCCCCTCTCATCTCCTCGTTTTCCCCATGTCCTTTGCCCTTCCCCTCTCATCTCCTCGTTTTCCCCTTGTCCTTTGCCCTTCCCCTCTCATCTCCTCGTTTTCCCCATGTCCTTTGCCCTTCCCCTCTCATCTCCTCGTTTTCCCCTTGTCCTTTGCCCTTCCCCTCTCATCTCCTCGTTTTCCCCATGTCCTTTGCCCTTCCCCTCTCATCTCCTCGTTTCCCCATGTCCTTTTCCCTTCCCCTCTCATCTCCTCGTTTTCCCCATGTCCTTTGCCCTTCCCCTCTCATCTCCTCGTTTTCCCCTTGTCCTTTGCCCTTCCCCTCTCATCTCCTCGTTTTCCCCTTGTCCTTTGCCCTTCCCCTCTCATCTCCTCGTTTTCCCCTTGTCCTTTGCCCTTCCCCTCTCATCTCCTCGTTTTCCCCTTGTCCTTTGCCCTTCCCTCTCATCTCCTCGTTTTCCCCTTGTCCTTTGCCCTTCCGCTCTCATCTCCTCGTTTTCCCCTTGTCCTTTGCCCTTCCCCTCTCATCTCCTCGTTTTCCCCTTGTCCTTTGCCCTTCCCCTCTCATCTCCTCGTTTTCCCCTTGTCCTTTGCCTTTCCCCTCTCATCTCCTCGTTTTCCCCTTGTCCTTTGCCCTTCCCCTCTCATCTCCTCGTTTTCCCCTTGTCCTTTGCCCTTCCCCTCTCATCTCCTCGTTTTCCCCTTGTCCTTTGCCCTTCCCCTCTCATCTCCTCGTTTTCCCCTTGTCCTTTGCCCTTCCCCTCTCATCTCCTCGTTTTCCCCTTGTCCTTTGCCCTTCCCCTCTCATCTCCTCGTTTTCCCCATGTCCTTTGCCCTTCCCCTCTCATCTCCTCGTTTTCCCCTTGTCCTTTGCCCTTCCCCTCTCATCTCCTCGTTTTCCCCTTGTCCTTTGCCCTTCCCCTCTCATCTCCTCGTTTTCCCCTTGTCCTTTGCCCTTCCCCTCTCATCTCCTCGTTTTCCCCTTGTCCTTTGCCCTTCCCCTCTCATCTCCTCGTTTTCCCCTTGTCCTTTGCCCTTCCCCTCTCATCTCCTCGTTTTCCCCTTGTCCTTTGCCCTTCCCTCTCATCTCCTCGTTTTCCCCCTTGTCCTTTGCCCTTCCGCTCTCATCTCCTCGTTTTCCCCTTGTCCTTTGCCCTTCCCCTCTCATCTCCTCGTTTTCCCCTTGTCCTTTGCCCTTCCCCTCTCATCTCCTCGTTTTCCCCTTGTCCTTTGCCTTTCCCCTCTCATCTCCTCGTTTTCCCCTTGTCCTTTGCCCTTCCCCTCTCATCTCCTCGTTTTCCCCTTGTCCTTTGCCCTTCCCCTCTCATCTCCTCGTTTTCCCCTTGTCCTTTGCCCTTCCCCTCTCATCTCCTCGTTTTCCCCTTGTCCTTTGCCCTTCCCCTCTCATCTCCTCGTTTTCCCCTTGTCCTTTGCCCTTCCCCTCTCATCTCCTCGTTTTCCCCATGTCCTTTGCCCTTCCCCTCTCATCTCCTCGTTTTCCCCATGTCCTTTGCCCTTCCCCTCTCATCTCCTCGTTTTCCCCATGTCCTTTGCCCTTCCCCTCTCATCTCCTCGTTTTCCCCATGTCCTTTGCCCTTCCCCTCTCATCTCCTCGTTTTCCCCTTGTCCTTTGCCCTTCCCCTCTCATCTCCTCGTTTTCCCCATGTCCTTTGCCCTTCCCCTCTCATCTCCTCGTTTTCCCCTTGTCCTTTGCCCTTCCCCTCTCATCTCCTCGTTTTCCCCTTGTCCTTTGCCCTTCCCCTCTCATCTCCTCGTTTTCCCCTTGTCCTTTGCCCTTCCCCTCTCATCTCCTCGTTTTCCCCTTGTCCTTTGCCCTTCCCCTCTCATCTCCTCGTTTTCCCCTTGTCCTTTGCCCTTCCCCTCTCATCTCCTCGTTTTCCCCATGTCCTTTGCCCTTCCCCTCTCATCTCCTCGTTTTTCCCCATGTCCTTTGCCCTTCCCCTCTCATCTCCTCGTTTTCCCCATGTCCTTTGCCCTTCCCCTCTCATCTCCTCGTTTTCCCCATGTCCTTTGCCCTTCCCCTCTCATCTCCTCGTTTTCCCCTTGTCCTTTGCCCTTCCCCTCTCATCTCCTCGTTTTCCCCATGTCCTTTGCCCTTCCCCTCTCATCTCCTCGTTTTCCCCTTGTCCTTTGCCCTTCCCCTCTCATCTCCTCGTTTTCCCCTTGTCCTTTGCCCTTCCCCTCTCATCTCCTCGTTTTCCCCATGTCCTTTGCCCTTCCCCTCTCATCTCCTCGTTTTCCCCATGTCCTTTGCCCTTCCCTCTCATCTCCTCGTTTTCCCCTTGTCCTTTGCCCTTCCGCTCTCATCTCCTCGTTTTCCCCTTGTCCTTTGCCCTTCCCCTCTCATCTCCTCGTTTTCCCCTTGTCCTTTGCCCTTCCCCTCTCATCTCCTCGTTTTTCCCCTTGTCCTTTGCCCTTCCCCTCTCATCTCCTCGTTTTCCCCTTGTCCTTTGCCCTTCCCCTCTCATCTCCTCGTTTTCCCCTTGTCCTTTGCCCTTCCCCTCTCATCTCCTCGTTTTCCCCATGTCCTTTGCCCTTCCCCTCTCATCTCCTCGTTTTCCCCATGTCCTTTGCCCTTCCCCTCTCATCTCCTCGTTTTCCCCATGTCCTTTGCCCTTCCCCTCTCATCTCCTCGTTTTCCCCATGTCCTTTGCCCTTCCCCTCTCATCTCCTCGTTTTCCCCTTGTCCTTTGCCCTTCCCCTCTCATCTCCTCGTTTTCCCCATGTCCTTTGCCCTTCCCCTCTCATCTCCTCGTTTTCCCCTTGTCCTTTGCCCTTCCCCTCTCATCTCCTCGTTTTCCCCTTGTCCTTTGCCCTTCCCCTCTCATCTCCTCGTTTTCCCCATGTCCTTTGCCCTTCCCCTCTCATCTCCTCGTTTTCCCCTTGTCCTTTGCCCTTCCCCTCTCATCTCCTCGTTTTCCCCTTGTCCTTTGCCCTTCCCCTCTCATCTCCTCGTTTTCCCCTTGTCCTTTGCCCTTCCCCTCTCATCTCCTCGTTTTCCCCATGTCCTTTGCCCTTCCCCTCTCATCTCCTCGTTTTCCCCCATGTCCTTTGCCCTTCCCCTCTCATCTCCTCGTTTTCCCCATGTCCTTTGCCCTTCCCCTCTCATCTCCTCGTTTTCCCCTTGTCCTTTGCCCTTCCCCTCTCATCTCCTCGTTTTCCCCTTGTCCTTTGCCCTTCCCCTCTCATCTCCTCGTTTTCCCCTTGTCCTTTGCCCTTCCCCTCTCATCTCCTCGTTTTCCCCTTGTCCTTTGCCCTTCCCCTCTCATCTCCTCGTTTTCCCCTTGTCCTTTGCCCTTCCCCTCTCATCTCCTCGTTTTCCCCTTGTCCTTTGCCCTTCCCCTCTCATCTCCTCGTTTTCCCCATGTCCTTTGCCCTTCCCCTCTCATCTCCTCGTTTTCCCCTTGTCCTTTGCCCTTCCCCTCTCATCTCCTCGTTTTCCCCTTGTCCTTTGCCCTTCCCCTCTCATCTCCTCGTTTTCCCCTTGTCCTTTGCCCTTCCCCTCTCATCTCCTCGTTTTCCCCTTGTCCTTTGCCCTTCCCCTCTCATCTCCTCGTTTTCCCCTTGTCCTTTGCCCTTCCCTCTCATCTCCTCGTTTTCCCCTTGTCCTTTGCCCTTCCCTCTCATCTCCTCGTTTTCCCCTTGTCCTTTGCCCTTCCGCTCTCATCTCCTCGTTTTCCCCTTGTCCTTTGCCCTTCCCCTCTCATCTCCTCGTTTTCCCCTTGTCCTTTGCCCTTCCCCTCTCATCTCCTCGTTTTCCCCTTGTCCTTTGCCTTTCCCCTCTCATCTCCTCGTTTTCCCCTTGTCCTTTGCCCTTCCCCTCTCATCTCCTCGTTTTCCCCTTGTCCTTTGCCCTTCCCCTCTCATCTCCTCGTTTTCCCCTTGTCCTTTGCCCTTCCCCTCTCATCTCCTCGTTTTCCCCTTGTCCTTTGCCCTTCCCCTCTCATCTCCTCGTTTTCCCCTTGTCCTTTGCCCTTCCCCTCTCATCTCCTCGTTTTCCCCATGTCCTTTGCCCTTCCCCTCTCATCTCCTCGTTTTCCCCATGTCCCTTTGCCCTTCCCCTCTCATCTCCTCGTTTTCCCCATGTCCTTTGCCCTTCCCCTCTCATCTCCTCGTTTTCCCCATGTCCTTTGCCCTTCCCCTCTCATCTCCTCGTTTTCCCCTTGTCCTTTGCCCTTCCCCTCTCATCTCCTCGTTTTCCCCATGTCCTTTGCCCTTCCCCTCTCATCTCCTCGTTTTCCCCTTGTCCTTTGCCCTTCCCCTCTCATCTCCTCGTTTTCCCCTGTCCTTTGCCCTTCCCCTCTCATCTCCTCGTTTTCCCCCCTTGTCCTTTGCCCTTCCCCTCTCATCTCCTCGTTTTCCCCTTGTCCTTTGCCCTTCCCCTCTCATCTCCTCGTTTTCCCCTTGTCCTTTGCCCTTCCCCTCTCATCTCCTCGTTTTCCCCATGTCCTTTGCCCTTCCCCTCTCATCTCCTCGTTTTCCCCATGTCCTTTGCCCTTCCCCTCTCATCTCCTCGTTTTCCCCATGTCCTTTGCCCTTCCCCTCTCATCTCCTCGTTTTCCCCATGTCCTTTGCCCTTCCCCTCTCATCTCCTCGTTTTCCCCTTGTCCTTTGCCCTTCCCCTCTCATCTCCTCGTTTTCCCCATGTCCTTTGCCCTTCCCCTCTCATCTCCTCGTTTTCCCCTTGTCCTTTGCCCTTCCCCTCTCATCTCCTCGTTTTCCCCTTGTCCTTTGCCCTTCCCCTCTCATCTCCTCGTTTTCCCCATGTCCTTTGCCCTTCCCCTCTCATCTCCTCGTTTTCCCCTTGTCCTTTGCCCTTCCCCTCTCATCTCCTCGTTTTCCCCTTGTCCTTTGCCCTTCCCCTCTCATCTCCTCGTTTTCCCCCTTGTCCTTTGCCCTTCCCCTCTCATCTCCTCGTTTTCCCCATGTCCTTTGCCCTTCCCCTCTCATCTCCTCGTTTTCCCCATGTCCTTTGCCCTTCCCCTCTCATCTCCTCGTTTTCCCCATGTCCTTTGCCCTTCCCCTCTCATCTCCTCGTTTTCCCCTTGTCCTTTGCCCTTCCCCTCTCATCTCCTCGTTTTCCCCCTTTCCTTTGCCCTTCCCCTCTCATCTCCTCGTTTTCCCCTTGTCCTTTGCCCTTCCCCTCTCATCTCCTCGTTTTCCCCTTGTCCTTTGCCCTTCCCCTCTCATCTCCTCGTTTTCCCCCTTGTCCTTTGCCCTTCCCCTCTCATCTCCTCGTTTTCCCCTTGTCCTTTGCCCTTCCCCTCTCATCTCCTCGTTTTCCCCTTGTCCTTTGCCCTTCCCCTCTCATCTCCTCGTTTTCCCCTTGTCCTTTGCCCTTCCCCTCTCATCTCCTCGTTTTCCCCTTGTCCTTTGCCCTTCCCCTCTCATCTCCTCGTTTTCCCCATGTCCTTTGCCCTTCCCCTCTCATCTCCTCGTTTTCCCCTTGTCCTTTGCCCTTCCCCTCTCATCTCCTCGTTTTCCCCTTGTCCTTTGCCCTTCCCCTCTCATCTCCTCGTTTTCCCCATGTCCTTTGCCCTTCCCCTCTCATCTCCTCGTTTTCCCCATGTCCTTTGCCCTTCCCCTCTCATCTCCTCGTTTTCCCCATGTCCTTTGCCCTTCCCCTCTCATCTCCTCGTTTTCCCCATGTCCTTTGCCCTTCCCCTCTCATCTCCTCGTTTTCCCCATGTCCTTTGCCCTTCCCCTCTCATCTCCTCGTTTTCCCCTTGTCCTTTGCCCTTCCCCTCTCATCTCCTCGTTTTCCCCATGTCCTTTGCCCTTCCCCTCTCATCTCCTCGTTTTCCCCTTGTCCTTTGCCCTTCCCCTCTCATCTCCTCGTTTTCCCCTTGTCCTTTGCCCTTCCCCTCTCATCTCCTCGTTTTCCCCTTGTCCTTTGCCCTTCCCCTCTCATCTCCTCGTTTTCCCCTTGTCCTTTGCCCTTCCCCTCTCATCTCCTCGTTTTCCCCATGTCCTTTGCCCTTCCCCTCTCATCTCCTCGTTTTCCCCTTGTCCTTTGCCCTTCCCCTCTCATCTCCTCGTTTTCCCCTTGTCCTTTGCCCTTCCCCTCTCATCTCCTCGTTTTCCCCATGTCCTTTGCCCTTCCCCTCTCATCTCCTCGTTTTCCCCATGTCCTTTGCCCTTCCCCTCTCATCTCCTCGTTTTCCCCATGTCCTTTGCCCTTCCCCTCTCATCTCCTCGTTTTCCCCATGTCCTTTGCCCTTCCCCTCTCATCTCCTCGTTTTCCCCATGTCCTTTGCCCTTCCCCTCTCATCTCCTCGTTTTCCCCTTGTCCTTTGCCCTTCCCCTCTCATCTCCTCGTTTTCCCCTTGTCCTTTGCCCTTCCCCTCTCATCTCCTCGTTTTCCCCATGTCCTTTGCCCTTCCCCTCTCATCTCCTCGTTTTCCCCTTGTCCTTTGCCCTTCCCCTCTCATCTCCTCGTTTTCCCCTTGTCCTTTGCCCTTCCCCTCTCATCTCCTCGTTTTCCCCATGTCCTTTGCCCTTCCCCTCTCATCTCCTCGTTTTCCCCATGTCCTTTGCCCTTCCCCTCTCATCTCCTCGTTTTCCCCATGTCCTTTGCCCTTCCCCTCTCATCTCCTCGTTTTCCCCATGTCCTTTGCCCTTCCCCTCTCATCTCCTCGTTTTCCCCATGTCCTTTGCCCTTCCCCTCTCATCTCCTCGTTTTCCCCTTGTCCTTTGCCCTTCCCCTCTCATCTCCTCGATTTCCCCATGTCCTTTGCCCTTCCCCTCTCATCTCCTCGTTTTCCCCTTGTCCTTTGCCCTTCCCCTCTCATCTCCTCGTTTTCCCCTTGTCCTTTGCCCTTCCCCTCTCATCTCCTCGTTTTCCCCTTGTCCTTTGCCCTTCCCCTCTCATCTCCTCGTTTTCCCCATGTCCTTTGCCCTTCCCCTCTCTTCCCCTCTCCCCCCCCTTCCCCAGTGCCAGTGACGGAGTACGGGTTGTCAAAGATAAAGCGCGCCACAAAGAACCTCACCACGCTCTACGGCAAGGGCAGCTTCGGCTCCGTGTACCTGGCGCAGGACTTCCTGCCCTTCCTACGCTCAGGACTTCCTGCCCTTCCTGACTGCGAGCTCTGACCTTCGCCAACACCACCAACTTTCTTTCTCCACCCCCCGTTCCCCTCCCCTTTGCTCCCCCCGCAGTGCCAGTGACGGAGTACGGGCTGTCAAAGATAAAGCGCGCCACAAAGAACCTCACCACGCTGTACGGCAAGGGCAGCTTCGGCTCCGTGTACCTCGCGCAGGACTTCCTGCCCGACCGTGCCAACCCGCATGTCATCATCAAACGAGCACACGACCCTGAGAGTGAGTAGTTTTGCCTAGAGTTTACTCAGAACTCTCTTGGGTTGACTCAGAGCATGCGGTGTATGCGGCACCGTGTACCTGGCGCAGGACTTCCTGCCCGACCGTGCCAACCCGCATGCCATCATCAAGAGGGCGCACGACCCTGAGAGTGCGTTTCTGCAGCTTGAGTTGACTTAAAACACGCTGCGGTTTGAGTGTGCATGGTGCAGGAGGACTTGATGTACCATGCCTGCTCAGGGCTTCCTGTCAGACCACGCCACTCGCAGTCACCGTCCCACCATCCCTTCCCAACCCCACCCCCCCATTGCCTGCCACCGCAGAGATGAGTGAGGAGCAGTTCAAAGAAAAGGTGGACAAGCTGGCGAGGGCACCGTGCAATGCCACTCACATTCACCGTTCCTCCACCCCACCTCCCCGCACCTGAGCTCTACCGCAGAAATGAGCGAGGAGCAGTTTAAGGAGAAGGTGGACGAGCTGGCGAGGGTTATGCACCGGTCATATGCACCATCCCACCGCTCCCCTCCCCCCCATTCCCTCCCCCCCCCCGTTGTCTCCCCCATTGCCTTGTACCACAGAGATGAGCGAGGAGCAGTTCAGAGAAAAGGTGGACGAGCTGGCGAGGGCGAGGCACCGGTCACATGCACCATCCCACTGCTCCCCTTCCCCCCATCCCTCTCCCCTCCCCTTGTCTCCCCCATCGCCTGCCACCGCAGAGATGAGCGAGGAGCAGTTTAAGGAGAAGGTGGACGAGCTGGCGAGGGCGAGACACCGGTGTCTGGTGGCGCTGCTGGGGTACTGCATGGGCAAGACAGAGCGCATGCTCGTCTTTGAATACATGCCCTATGGCACTCTCTTTGACCGCCTCCACCGTAAGTCCACCCACCGTTTCGGAGTCCACGTGATTTTTCTTCTTTTTCCTCTGAGCCGACCCCCTTTTTTTCCTCTGAGTCCACCCATTTTTTCCAGGCTCACTTGTTTTTTCCGAGTCCACCCATTCCGTTGTTGGCACTCTCTTTGACTGCCTTCACTGTGACCCCACGAAACATCATGAGCACACATGCTTAACTTATTAGGCACATACCCACGGTCATGCACATGCCCACCGTCATGCACAAACCCCCATCCTCCCCCCCCACCCCCCCCCCACCCTCCCCACCACCCTCTTCCTTTCCCAACACCCATGCCACACAGGGTCGAACCTGGACCCCATGCCGTGGGATGCAAGGGTCGAACCTGGACCCCATGCCGTGGGATGCGCACGTGCGGGTGGCGGTGAACGTGGCGTCAGCGCTGGCCTATCTGCACCACGGCGTGGACCCGCCTCTCATCCCTCCTCATCCCCTTCCCCTTAATCCCCTCCCCCCTCCAACCAACACCCGTGTGTGTGTCACAGGGTCGAACCTGGACCCCATGCCGTGGGATGCAAGGGTGCGGGTGGCGGTGAACGTGGCGTCAGCGCTGGCCTATCTGCACCACGGCGTGGACCCGCCTCTCACCCACCGCGCTGTCACCTCCTCTAACGTGCTGCTTGGCGCTGACATGACTGCCAAGGTGTGTCAATGCTCTCAACAACCAGACGCAGTTTCAGGCTGCTTCATTTGGTGTGTGTGTGTGCGCATGTGCACACACGCATGCGTGCGTGCATGTGTGTGTGTGTGTGTGTGTGTGTGTGTGTGTGTGTGTGTGTGTGTGTGTGTGTGTGTGTGTGTGCGTGCATGCGTGCGTGCGTGCGTGCGTGCTTGCGTGCGTGCGTGCGTGCGTGTGTGTGTGTGTGTGTGCTTGATGGGCCAGCAATTGCCTCTCACCCACCGCGCCGTCACGCCATCCAATGTGCTGCTCGGCGCCGACATGACTGCCAAGGTGTGATTTCACTGCCACTCTGCCTGCTCTGCTCCCACCACCGTGTGCTCCCACCACTGGTGCTTTGCTCCTTAGACGTGCATAAGCCATGACTAGCCTCTATTCCCCCTTTCATCCCTCCGTCCCTCCTCCCCACCCACACAACACCAGCTCTCCGACTACGGGCTGGCGCGGGGCTGTGCAGCGCAGGCAGCAGACGACCTGGCGCGGCGGCGCCGGGCCCACCGCAGCTCGCGCAGCCGCGGCACGAGCATCGGCAGCACGGGCCAGCTCGACAGCCTCCAAGGCGGCAGCAGCGCTGGCAGCAGCGCCGGCAGCAGTGGCGACTTGCTGGGCGGCGTGGGCGGGCGGTCGTTTGGGAGTGGGAGGCGGCGGGGTGGAGGGGGGGAGAGTGGGAACGACACCGATGGGGAGGCTGTGCTGTCGCGGGAGAGCACGCCGCACTTCGCGAGGGAGAGGGAGAGCACGCCGATTTTTTCAAGGGAGAACAAGATTTCGAGCATGGATGAGAGGAAGGCGGATGTGTATGGGTTCGGAGTGGTGCTGCTGGAGTTGATCACAGGGCAGAAGGCCATGCAGGACGTGCATATCACCAGCCTGGTACGCCGCGGTGAAATGCAGTAAAGCGTGGTTTGGTTCGGTGGAGCGTGGTTTGATATGGAGCAGGGTGGGGTGCGTGCACTGGGTGGTGCGATTGGGTATGTGGGGTGTGGATGGGTTTGATATGGTGCTGCTGGAGCTGATAACGAGGCACCAAGTAATGCGCGATGTGTAAACTTAATTTGGTAGGGCGTGTCTCTCATGAGGTGTATTTCTGTATTGGAAGGGAGAACATCGTGGTTCAATGCGGTGGACAGTGGTGTGTGCGCTTTTCTGTACATGGTATGGCATGCAGGAAGTATCAAGCGTATGAATTGGGATTGGTGGTGCTGATTTTCAGCCAGAATCACATGCATGTTGTGCATTGCCAGCGTGATCAGAAGAGGCCACCTTCATCTCTCATGATAAAAGTGTTGTTTTGAGACGTCTCAAAACATTCACCCAGAATCACATGCATGTTGTGCATTGCCAGCGTGATCAGAATAAGCGACCTTCATCTCTCACCTTCTCTCCCTCGCCCCATTCTCCCCGCGTCCCCTCGTTTCACTCGTCTCCCTCTATCTCCTGACATACATCAGGCGGCGCCCTTCCTGGAGGACGATCAGATGATGCCCCTCATGGCTGACAGCGCCCTCGCAGGTGTGCTCCCATGCTCCCCTGCTCCCATGCTATTGTGCTCTCATGCTCCCTTGCTCCCATACCCTTTGCTCTCACGCTCCCTTGCTCCCATGCCCTTTGCTCTCACGCTCCCTTGCTCCCATGCCCTTTGCTCTCACGCTCCCTTGCTCCCATGCTATTGTGCTCTCATGCTCCCTTGCTCCCATACCCTTTGCTCTCACGCTCCCTTGCTCCCATGCCCTTTGCTCTCACGCTCCCTTGCTCCCATGCCCTTTGCTCTCACGCTCCCTTGCTCCCATGCCCTTTTCTCTCACGCTCCCTTGCTCCCATGCCCTTTGCTCTCACGCTCCCTTGCTCCCATGCCCTTTGCTCTCACGCTCCCTTGCTCCGATGCCCTTATGCTCCCAAACTCTTTTGCTCCCATGCTTCCTTATTCCCGTGCTTCCATACGTGCATACTCACCCGGCCCTGCAACACGGCATGCATTACACTACCGCCTGGCTACTTCAATCAGGATGAGCTGGTCTCGCTCGCCTCCATTGCCCGTGACTGCGTACACCCGGCGCCCTCTCAGGGCGAGCTCATTCCCCCTTGCTCCCACACCCCCATTCCCCCTTCCTCCCACGCCCCCATCCTCTCTACCCCCCAGGCTACTTCAACCAGGACGAGCGCATCTCGCTCGCCTCCATTGCCCGTGACTGCGTGCACCAGGCGCCTTCCCAGCGCCCCTCCATGCTCGACGTCCTCACAGCCCTCGAGGACACTGTAGACGAGGACCTCCTCTCCTCCCTCCACGGCCCCTCCACCCGCCTCCTCTCGCCCGGCTCCACTGCCAGTGGCATCACCAGCACCAGCAACGGGGACCGGTATACTGCCCTGGCCAATGACGGCGCTTTTGACGATGCTGCCACGGGAGGGACGGGGACGGGGATGGGGGGAGGGGGAGCGGGGAAACGGAGCGGTGGGTCGTCATTCATTGATGCTATCTCGGCGTCGTTCCGGAGGCGAGGGGGTGGGGGGGAGAAGGGTGGGGGGAAAGGGGAGGGGATGCAGAGGGGATCGGGACAAGGCCCACCGTCGCCGAATCGGTCGGGGAGGAGTGATGCATCGGATATAGAGAGCTCCTCGCTGCTCTATATCAATCCCAAGGGTCACTGAGACACTGACTCGTCTCTCCTTCCTCCTCTCACATTCCCCGGCTCAAGTGGCGTCTGTCTTTGAGACGTCTCTAAGAATCGGTTGAAGAGGAGGAGTGATGTGTGGAATGTGGAGAGCTCTTCCCTGCTTCATATCACCCCCAAGATACACTGACACGATCTCTATAATATAAACATATGGTACCAGCTCATTCTCTCCTTTCTCTCCCACCGAAGGGGCAAGTCATTTCCTCAGTGTCTCCAATATTTTCTTCATGACATTTTGGGGTCCGCTCATATTGTGGTACTATAATCTAGGGCCACCCAGCGACTACCACATTTGTTTTTTCTTGTTCACTTGGCTTTTAATTCTGAAGGCCGGTGATCACAACCGGTGTGTATGTCACATGATGGGTAGGTTGGCAGGCGTTGACACTGTACATTATTATTTTATATTTGTAAACAATTACCCTTGGATTTGTAGTGGGTGGCACTGAAGACGTGTCCAGAGAGTACATCCTAATACGGTTGAAAAGGGTTTGGAATTGACCCCGAGCGGTATAATTGAGAAGTAGAATGGTTAGGTAGGGTTCCTTATGAGTGTACATTCGTAGACTCGCCCTATGATTCAAATGGCAACTTTACACATACTAGCTGGAGCAGTGCAACAAGCAGCATGAAGCTTATTTCTCAGAACAGTCAGTCATTGGTTGTACAGCAGGTACCATACAAACTAGATGGTAAGGTACACCACGGATTGTGACCTTGCAACAGAATATGTCCTTGCAACAGACGCCATGTAGAGGAATGAATGCAAGGCGGGAAGCAGCCCAGTACAGCAGCATGTGGTGGAGATAAGGTAATGTGCCTCTGAAAGGAAGCACATTGAGATTGGTAAGGGGAGCCTACAAAACTGCTCCCGCTGATTTAGGTAGTGTATAAAAACCCTCCATATCCATTACCCTCTGCCACTCCTCCACCCACCGCCACCACCACCACCACCACCGCCACCTCCTCTCCTGCTTCCCCCATAACCTCCTCCTCCACCACCACCGAACCTGCCACGACCACCGCTGCCCCCTCCTCCCCCTCCCCCTCCACCTCCCCATCTTCTCGGGCCTCCGGGACTGAAAAGAGAGAACACACAAGCCGTAGAGAAGTTGGGAGGGACACGAGAAATGGGAGAGGTGAGTGGGGAACGGACAGATAGACAGATGAGAGGCAGCGGCAGAGATGAGAGGCAGGTCCATTGGGGAGAGAGGTTCAGGAGGTAAGAGTGAGAGGGAAGTGGGTGTAATCAGGGGACATGCGATCAGCACCGTTGATTCATATTGCGCACATCACGGCACATCTGACCCGTTACAGGGATGCAGATTTCAGCGCAGATTTGGTCATCGCTTCGCCAGAGGGGAAAGAGGGCAATGGAAAGAGATGAGATCGAGAATGAGTAAATCGCTAGTGAAGAGGCTAGTCAAAGGGATTGGGGTGGACAGCAGAGAGTGAAACCAACAGGGTCTGGTTACCAAAAAGTAACAAGTAACAAGAGGGCAAGCCCAAAGACAGGTACATCCTAAGCGAGTTTGCAGCAATCAGCACCGTTGATTCATTTTGCGCACATCACAGCACATCTAACCCGTTACAGGGATGCAGATGTCAGCGCAAATTCGGTCATCGCTTCGCCAGAGGGGAGAGGGGATGATGGAATGGAAAGCGGCAAGAGGGGCACGGGTTTGACGGAAGGAGGCTAGAAGGGTGGTGGTGCAACGAGGTTGGCAGAGAGGCTTGAAGTCAGAGAGAGAGAGAGAGAGAGAAGCTGGGCGGGCAAGTCAGACAGGAGAAGTGAATCTTGGAGCAAAGCTGCGATCAGCACCGTTGATTCATTTTGCGCACATCACAGCACCATCTGACCCATTACAGGGATGCAGATGTCAGCGCAAGTTGGGTCATCTCTTCACAGCTCAACTCATCCCTCCAAGCCTAAACTAACAGGCATCACGTCACAGCAGCATCAGGAGCAGCTGCAAGGGGAAGAGGTAAACAAATTAAACAAATCAACAGAAGTGCAAGAAGCAAACCTTCCACCACACACACTCACCCATCGCCATCGTCCAAGCAGGACACCACCCTGGACCTCTCCTTGGAAGTTGGAACCCTTACCTGTTGTGCATGCACCCCTTTTCAGTCGACTCAAAAGCTTACCTGTTGTGCATGCACCCCTTTTCAGTCGACTCAAAAGCTTACCTGTTGTGCATGCACCCCTTTTCAGTCGACTCAAAAGCTTACCTGTTGTGCATGCACCCCTTTTCAGTCGACTCAAAAGCTTACCTGTTGTGCATGCACCCCTTTTCAGTCGACTCAAAAGCTTACCTGTTGTGCATGCACCCCTTTTCAGTCGACTCAAAAGCTTACCTGTTGTGCATGCACCCCTTTTCAGTCGACTCAAAAGCTTACCTGTTGTGCATGCACCCCACTTCACTTGTTGTAACCCCCATGTGCCTCACCTGTTGCTGGTCATCGGAGCTTGCTTGAGCTCGGGAAGCGTCTTGGCCTCCTCCACCTGGATGTTCGACAGCCCGTTGCTCGCTGCTGCTGCCGCCGCTGCAGCGATGGGAAAAACACAACACGTGAGGCACAGAAGGGTTTTCTTTCCGTTTGAATGCACGTCAAAGAGGTGAGCGGTGGGAAAGAGCAATGCAATGCAATGCAATGGCACCAGTCTAAATCAGAAGGGGGTGGTTGAGCCCTCACCCTTTAAGGTAGAGGTTCTTGTCCTTGACAGGCACGTCAAAGAGGTGAGCGGTGAGAGAGAACACTGTAACAGCACCCATCAGAGGACTCAACGCAAGGAGGTTGAGTTCTGGGCCTCACCTTTCAGGTAGAGGTCCTTGTCCTTGACTGGCACGTCAAAGACAGCCCCACAGCCGTCAGCTGTGAGTGTGATGCCGTTGATGGCCCGCGTCTGGTCCGGTGTGAGGTGCTGCTCGAAGAACCGTAGCACATAGCTGCAGTTGGGGAGGGGAGCGGGCAAGGGAGGGATGGTTTTGAGATTGCACACGCTTGATTGCCCGCGTCTGGTCCGGTGTCATCAGGTGCTGCTCGAAGAACAGTGGAGGGAGGGAGGGGGGAGGGGATGGAATGGAGGAGGGGTGGGAGTGGGGCAGAGCTGAGATTTGAGGGAGGGTTACAGGACGATAGGGATGATGGAAGCCGTACAAGAAACAGAACACACACAGACACACATGCACGCACGTTTGTGGCGGGTGTGTGCACGCTCACTCACACCCACACACGTTTCCATAAGTGCGGCATGGCAAGGGGAGGGGCTCACGAGGGCGAGTAGAAGGGTGAGGAGCAGCGCAGCAGCAGCGTGACCTGGTCCTGCTGGCTCAACAGCAGCGAGCGTGCCTTGAGCTCCGTGTGTCCCTGTCATAGAGAGATTTCCATGCCATGCCATGCCATGCCACACAGAGAGTGCAGAAGGAGCAGCAACAGGATCAGCTAAGTGCAGCTCAGAGGCACAGCAGGGAGAGAGGAAGAGCGTACGTGCCAGGGACCTTATGGGTGCCAAGAATGTGCAAGTACATACATCTTGCCGTGACCCATGGACCAACAGGCAGGAAGGCAGGCAGGCAAACTGGCGAGCGGGGGGGCGGGGGGGCGGGTGAGCAGGAGCAAGCAACTCACAGCAAGGCAAGCGAGGGCTTTGGCGAGTGCAGCGAGGGGCGAGAGGCCAGTAGAGTCGATCAGCTCCTGTGCTGAGCCCTCAAACAGCGGCACCACACTGTGTGTTAAGAGGGAGGGGAGGGTGACAGGGTGTTGGGGGATTTCCACGGGCAATCTCCCATACCCTCAACTCAAGCTTTGAGGTGATTTTTGAGGCACCTAAAAAAACGCCTCAATGCACGTGGTGAGATGTTTGTAAAGAGGATTTCCACGAACATTCTCCCACATTCCCAAAATTCCAAGCCCTCTCCCTCTCTTTCCTCCCGCCCGCCCGCCCCCCCCCCCCCCCCCCACTCATGCGTATGCGCATTTCAAAACATCTCAATACGCGCCCAGAACCCCTTCCCCCACTGAAGCCTGCCCCCACCTGCACTCAAAGCCTCCCTCACGCCCTCACCTGTCTCCAACGGCCTTGACTTTGGTCGTGACTGCAGCGGAGGCGACTTTAACGAGGTCAGCGGGCTGTGGCGGGCTGACGCGCTCAAACTTTACCCCCGCCGTGTGCTCGATCTGCGACACTATCCGCCCCGCCCACCTGTCCGCCACCAACACTGACACTCCCGTGTTGCCTGGTTGGGGAGGAGAGGGGGGGAGGGGGGGGAGCAGTGGCAAACACAGACAGGTGGAAGAGCGGGTGAGGACGAGGCACGGGTGAGAACGAGGCACGGGTGAGAACGAGGCACGGGTGAGAACGAGGCACGGACGAGGCACAGACGAGGCACGGACGAGGCAGGGCTTTCGTGAAGAAACGGGAGAGTGAAAGAGTGAAAGAGAGAAAGAGTGAAAGATAGCAGAGGAATCTGGGAGGGGCAAAATGACCCAAACGCCTGCCTGCAAAATCACCACCTCCCGAATCTGCACATCCGCTGCTGCCACTCCACCAAGGCTAACTCCGTACCTGCGCGGCCGGTTCGGCCGGACCGATGGATATAGGTCTCGACGGTGCGGGGGACCTGCGCCTGCAGAACGAGCTGCACATCGCTAATGTCCAAACCTCTCGCCGCCACGTCTGTTGCTACCAGCACTTGGAAGGCCCCTGACTTGAACGCTTTTAGCACCACCTGTGGGAGGAAACACGAGGAGGAGCATGTGAGAGCGGCGGGTGGTGAGAGAGAGAGAGGGAGGACGAGCAAGTCCAACCACCAACCCCATTGAATGGAGCACACGTTGCATAGCTGGTGGTGCTGCTGCCAACACACTCACCTCGCGCTGCTGCTGGCTCACCTCGCGTTGTTGCTGCACGACGTCGCCGTGCAGCGCTCGCGCCCCCAGGTGCGCCAAGTTCTGCGCGAACTCCGACGCTGCGCTCTTGGTGTCCACGAACAGAATCACCTTCCCGCCGCTGCCAAGGGGGGCGGGGGGGAAGGAGGGCGGGTACGGGGGAGAAAAAGAGTTCAACACTCAACACTCTGCGCGAACTCGCTCTTGGTGTCCACAAACAGAATCGCCTTCCCGCCACTGCCCGTGGTGCACGGAAAAGGGGGCGGCGGGGGCGGGGGAGAGGGGGAAGGGGGAGATGAGGGTGGAGAAGGATGAGAGAAATATTGAAGGGGCACGGAAGATGCGCGCATTTACACATGCAAAAAAGAGTCATGTTGAGTAAAAAAAGAATGCTGAGGAAACGGGGGAAGAGGGGGGGGAGGAGGGGGGAATAGGGGGAGGAGGGGGTGTGGGGTGTGAGAGGAGGTGAACGAGGGGCGGGGAGAAACTGACAGGCTGTAGGTGGCGATGACGTCAGCGACGAGTTGGAAGCGTTGTTTGGTGTGGCAGGGCATGAGCAGATGGCGCACGTTGGTGCTCGCCTTCTGCCGCTCGCCGCCCACCAGGTCCACCACGCGCTTGTCCTCACGGAAGAACCGCTTCGATATCTGGTGCAGTGCGGTGGAGTGGGATGGGGTGGGGTGGTGTGGAGTGGGGTGGGATGGAGTGGGGCAACGCGCGGGCGGGGGAAGGGGAAGGCAGGTTTATTGTAAGTATCGCGCAAATGCGCTTGTCCTCCCGGAAGAACGCGGCATTGGTAGGCGCGCGTAGAGCGTGGGGCGAAGGCACGCAGAAGAACGAGGGCAGGAGAAGTCAGGAGCGTGGGGCGGGAGGAAAAATATTAACGAGCGGCGAGAGGCGAGCGGCGAACGGCGAGCGGCGCGCGGCGAGCGGCGAGCAGCGAGCAGCGAGCGGGTGAGTGACTGACCTTGTTGACCCATTCGGGCACGGTGGCGCTGAAGAGCAGCGTCTGCACCTTGGACTGGTCGTCCACCGACTCTGCGCCGCGCGCACACGCCAAAACAAATTGGAAACAGAGGTGTTAGCGTTTGCAGCGCAACTTGACTTGGAGAAGCTTTAGGCAAGAGGAAAACGACGCAGCCTACTCGCGCAATTCCCTCGCGCAGTCCATTCGCGCTGCAAACTCTTGAGAATTCTCAAATGCATTTCCGTCGCGCAGTCCATTCGCGCTGCAAACTCACTGAGAATGGTCTCGACGTCGTCGACGAAACCCATGTCGAGCATCTCGTCCGCCTCGTCCAGCACGCGGAAGCGCACCTCGTTCAGCTTCAACGACCCGCGCTGCAGCAGATCCTGCTCCAGGGAGAGGGGCAGCGTGCAGCAGACGGGAAAAATAGAGAGGATCAGGACTAGTCGGAAGGGTAGAGGACGGGTCGGAAAACACACGCGGGAAAAGCGGCGGAAATTCAAAACTGTAGCGATGGGCACGAGAGCTTGGGGGTTTTGCAACATTTTGTGAAAACAGCTGGGTTGAGGGGTTCAAGGGTCAGGGGTTTCGGGTTTAGCGGTACCTTAATCCGGCCGGGCGTGCCGACGACGATATCAACGCCGCGGAAGAGCGCACGCTCCTGCGGGCCCATGGCGGCCCCGCCGTACACGCACACAACGGACATGCCGGCGGCGCGGCCGATGTACTCGAAGTCGTCGCCGACCTGCTTCGCCAGCTCGCGCGTCGGCGCCAGCACGATCACGCTCGGCAGCTTGCTGCGGCTCGCGAACCCAACGCCGGCGCCCTTGCCGCCGCTCTCCTTGAGAATCTTCAGGCGCTCCACGATGGGCAGCACGAACGCGAGCGTCTTGCCCTGACCGGTGCGCGCGCGCGCGATGATATCGATGCCGTCCATAGCGAGGTCGAACGTCTGCACCTGGATGGGGAAGAGCGACGAGATGGACTTGCGACGCAGCGCCGCCTTCACGGCCGGCGACAGGCGGAAGTTGTCGATGCTGTTCGGATCGTCCTCGCGATCCTCCTCGTCCGCCGCCGCCGGCTCCTCCGGACCGTCCGATGAGCCGTCAATCTCGCCCGCAGTCGCCGTTCCAGCTCCGTTAGCTTCGTCAGAAGACGTTGACGCGTCGGCAGATCCGTCAGAATCTTCCTTCTCCGGCTCCTCCGCTGGCGCCTCTGATTCTTTCGACTTCTTCTGCTTCTTCTTGGACTTCTTCGCCGAACCTTCCTCCGCGGATTCTCCGGAGGCCTTCTTCGACTTCTTTTTCGGCGTAACTTCCTCCCCCGCCGATTCGGCTGGCGACGTGGAATCACGCTTCCGCTTCACAGGCGTATCGCCGTCCTTGGCCTTCTTCTTGGATTTCTTCGCGGAGATTAGATCGGACGGCGCAGCTCCATTCTCGTCAGCCGCGAGCGCTTTGGATTTCTTGGCGCTGATGGTAGTCGCCACCTGCTGCTCGTCCTCGGCCATCGCCGTGGCGCCCTTGACCTTGGAAGACACTCCAGGCATAGCTTTCGACAAAAACTTGGACCGAAAATCGGCAAGACTTCAGAAATGTATTGAGTACCTGAAAGGGAACTCCAAATTCAACTCAAAGATTCGTTCGGTGCAAGAATTGCGTACTGTCCTGATAATTGGCACTGTTTCCTGACAAAGGAGCAGCGCGTTCAGGAACAGCAGTATCAAGTCCTGCCGCGAGGGCTGGACTTACAACAGCGGCAAGCCGCTGAGGAAGAAAGGTGAAAGCTCGAGACCGGCCGCGAAGGCTGGACGTAATGAGCAGAAATGATGCTCCTGGGCGAGTGAGAGAGAGAGAGCTAAAGCCCTTCACAAGGGCGTTGGAAAGAGCCTCCATGAACGAACACCTAGCTGCTTGTAGTGGAGGGTGGATGGGGAAGTCGATGTGGACAAGGGACGATGATGGAGCTTAGACGGGTTAAGTACGGCACAGAACGGTGAAAGAGGAGCATGATCCTTGCGAATGGTTGGTGGGAAATGGGGGAGAGGGCCAGCTGGAGTTGGCCGCAACTGTGGCCCGTTATGTTATACACAGTCGGGCGACCGTTAATTGGACGATTGGTGACCTGCCCATTAAAAAAGAGCAAGTCTGGCCAATCTTAGAGTTTGGCGGTTTGTTGATAGAATCCAGTCCGCTGGTGTGAGGTCATCGGGGTCGGTGGATATTGGTTGACCTCCACGTGGAAAAGCATCACCTCTTCGGACCATGTCTAGCACGCTCGACCCAGACGTTTCGGGCTGTTTGCTGTGCTAGACAACGTCACTTGCCCCAACGCTGGAAGTCGTTGCTCTGCTACACCTCCTGCATACAAAAGTACATGTAGGAAATAACAAAATTTTATACCAACTAGTAATTCAAATGCAATGAACTCATCTAAAATATATTTATCTCAACTTAATTATGCAATGAGATAACGTTTGATAAAATTCAATTGCATTATCAACATTGAGCGAAAGTTATCTACAGATAGCAATTGTAAGGAAAATTCATTTTCCTTACTTCGCGCCCCCGCTCAGCGCGTACACCACTGTAGCACCACAGTCAGCACCGTTACCACTTGCAACCCTCGCATCGACAATCCTCCCGCCACCTTCGCACGTCGCACCCCGACCTCACGGCTCGGCGGGTAACCCGCGCTCCGGGCCTCCGCTTCGACATTTTCCCCAACCTCAGTCCTAGGCCCGTCGTGCGACAACCACAGTCCATTACCGTTACCTCCGTAATCTCGCTATATATTCTTCGCTCATGCCTTCTCTCATTGTACTTTTGCTTAGTGCAATCCTCACTCAATTGCACTAGTAACAGCCATACTTTCAACACTTCAATAATGCTCTCGTCGTTGTCCCGACCCAATTTCAGGGAGTTTCCAGTGGTGGACGAACAGCAGCGGTTCGCTCTCTTTTTTGAACGGTTTCGTAGGGTTCTGAGAGATAAGCTGTGCAGATTTTGAAACAGCATTACTCGGACTCGGACTCGGATCCCTGAAATCCAGTTTTGTATGATTGGTTCGTCAGAAAAACACCGATTCTGCCGCCAGCCATGCCGTGCATTCCACTCTTTTGCTGATGCGACTGAGGTGACCCTTAGTTATCCAGCTCCACCTTTCAGTGTTAGGAACATACATAGATCGTCCTTAGCCGTCGTAGAGTCCAACAGTTTTTAGGCCTTAAAGCGACGGGCAACTTCTGGCAGTGTTGGGTTCAGAAGTTTTTTTTTTGAACCAGGCTTGCCAGCGCGAAAGTGCTGGCTGGCGAAAACCAGGATTTCGTGCGGACACTTTCCATCCGCAGTAACAGTTCGCCAGGGTTTTGGGTTTTGGGTGGCAAATGTGCACCGTCGCTTTAACGATTTACGTAAATAGTCCAGGGTTTCTCTGGATTAGCAGTCGACATTGACCAAACAATGGGGACATTCATGTCTTTTTTACACTATACCAGTCGCCTAGGAGCTCCGTGACGGTAAATGCTTACTTTATTTTACATTGTTCTGGTTTTCCTAGTGATTCTGTCCGTTTGAGCTATTCAGCCTAACTGTCGTATCGTAGCAACCACGATGAGCGCGAGCACGGCAAGCAGCCGGCAGTTCTCCCGGCGCCAGTCCATAGATCCACACTCCAAGTCCAGCCAAGCAGCCGCTCATGGCGCCCTTAGAGCCAACCCCGCGATTCCGCCTCCCACGCCTAAGGGAAAGCCAGCGAAGTACGGGCTGGGCGAGGACTCGATGATCGGGCAGGAGATCAAGCACCTCGAGTCCGAATCGTTCAACGCGGACCAGTTCATGCAGGCCAAATGCAAGGCCATGAGCGAAAAGGTGCGTCGTACGCGAAATGCGAAGCCGTTAGAGCAAATTGGCGTTCAAATCACAGCGTGTTTCGTGAAGGTGGAAAATTTTCATTCCTAAACTCACGCATTTGACTCACATATCTCACTCGCGTGTCCAACTCACTCACTTAACTCACGTCTCACATATTTCATTTGATGCGCAGTCGCTGCGGAAGCTGTGCGCGGAACTGGTGGACTTCAAGCGCGCGTCCGCGGAGGAGATGCGCAAGAGCGTGTACGCCAACTATAAGTCCTTCATTCGGTAAGCCTATTCCTCTCCTTCATCATGTAGGCCTGTCCCTGTCCCTCTAACATGTCATTATGCCGCTTATCCGGCTATGCTCTCTTTAAATCCTGAATTCCTCGTTATGCAGCATATGTAATGTCATATGTAACGCACTGTGTAACAATTTACTCACTTCATTTTCTGTTCCCTCTTTGTTTCCACTTCCATCCCACCCTCCCCGCCCTAGCTGCCTCTCCACTCCTCTCCACTCCTCTCCACTCCTCTCCTCTCCTCTCCACTCATCCACTCCCTCTCCACTCCTCTCCACCCCTCTCCACTCCACTCCCCGCGGCCTCTTTGTACCCCCTCCGCCCGCAGCACGGCAAAGGAGATATCAGAGCTGGAGGGCGAGCTGCGCAACGTGCGCTCGCTGCTCACCGCGCAGTCCACGCTCATCCACTCCCTCTCCGACCGCTCGCCCATCCCCGCGGCCTCTTTGTACCCCCTCCGCCCGCAGCACGGCAAAGGAGATATCAGAGCTGGAGGGCGAGCTGCGCAACGTGCGCTCGCTGCTCACCGCGCAGTCCACGCTCATCCACTCCCTCTCCGACCGCTCGCCCATTGTCCAGTCCCACCTCGCCGACCCCGACCGCTCCGTCTACGAGGACGACAAGGAAGCTTCCTCGCAGGAGGCCAATCTGCTGCAGATCCCAGACAAAATGGCCGTGTGCCTGGCAGAAAGGCGGATAGACGAGGCGTTGGATCTCTTAGCCAAAGGGGAGGATGCTGTGGTGATGTGCCGTGCGGGGCAGCGACCAGCAGTGAATAAAGACTCTCTGGAGACCTTAGATTCGAGCCTTGCTGAGAAGCGCGCCGAGCTTGTTGACCTGCTGGCCAGGATCACCCTGCAGCCGTCGGTTCGGCGAGCGGAGCTTCGGCACGCCGTGGCTGCGCTGGCGAGGCTCGGCGACCCGAAACGGGCCCACACACTCATGCTGGCGTGTCACGGCGCGCAGGTGCAGGCGGCTGTGCAACCGCTGCGACCGGGGGGCGTATCCTACGGTGCAGCTTACACGGCGAAGATCTCACGGCTGGTATTCTCCACGATCCTGGCCGCAGCACAGGACTCCAAGGCCGTGTTCGGCGACACGCCCTCCTGCGCCTCAGAGCTGGTGCTCTGGGCGCACGGGCAGACCGAATGGTGCGGGGACCTGCTTCAACAGTACGTACTGACGTCGGCAGCGGCAGCTGGCGGGCTGCGATTGGCCGCCGAGTGCGTGCAGATCGCGGTGGGGCATTGTTCGCTGCTGGAGGACCATGGGCTGGCCATGGCCGCCGTGCTCATGCGCCTCGTGCGCCCCAATGTGGAGCTGGCGTTGGAGGCGAACATAAGGCGGATAGAGGAGAGCGTGCAGGCCATGGCTGCCGGGGACGACTGGTCGCTGCTGCCTGTGCCGTCGGCTCCGCGCAGCGCTGCTGCTCGGATGCTGGCTGATGCTCCTGTTGCGAATTTCCAGCTTACCAGCAGCGCGTACCGCCTCTATTCCATGGTGCAGGTGTGTCCTCTGAACTACCCTTTTTCCTTATCTCCTCAGTCTTCGCCCTCCCTCGCTCTCCGTCCTCCTGCCTCCCGCTTCCCTCCCTCCCCCTTCGCTCACTCTCGCTCCTCCTTACCCCTCTCCCCACATCCCCTCACTGAGCACACGGATTTCTAGAGGGCGTGGTGCCGATAGTGAACCTTTTGAGTCGACTCAAGGTGACTTTTGAGTCGACTAAAAAGTCATTTCTAGAGGGTGTGGTGCCGATAGTGAACCTGCAGCTCACCACGCCTTCCCGACATCCCCCACCCCGTCCCCCTTTTTTCTCTCTCCTCTCGCCTCCCATTCACCCACAATCCGCCACTCTTTATGCGCAGGACTTCTTAGAGGATGTGGTGCCGATAGTGAATCTGCAGCTCACCCACCCTTCTTGCCCCATCTCTCCTCTTTCCTCGGCCTGTGCCGCTCTCTTTATGCACAGGACTTTCTAGAGGACGTGGTGCCAATAGTGAATCTGCAGCTCACCACACCAACCCTGGACGGGCTAGCGCACCTCTACTCCCAGTACACCGCCATGCTCAACCGCGCCCGCACCCCTGAAGACTCCTCTGATTGGGACGCCTCCGCCTCTGCCGCCTTTGCCGCCTCCACCAGCCAAGCCGGGGGCCCCGGGGACGCCGGGGAGGGGGAGGGAGGCGGCGCAGGGGCGGCAGGAATCGTGAACAAGGCAGTGACGGACCGGCAGCAGCTGGCTCTGATTGCCAACGCGGTTACTCTAGCAGAGGAGCTCCCGAGGCTGGCAGCGCGGCTAACGCAGCCGGTGGCGGGGCAGCGGGCGAGCCGGGAGCAGAGAAGGAGTTCGGGAGGGGAGGCGAAGCGGCAGCAGCTGCTGGCGTGGAAGAAGCAGCTGAGTGAGGGCGTGGAGGATCTGAAAATGGGGTTCTGTATGCAGAAGGCCACTGAGCTGCTGTATCCCGATGCGTGCATGGATGATGCCTTGCTGCCCCACCTCTACTTCCTCATGGATCAGGTGGGCGTTTGGGTGGGGTGTGATGCAGGTGTGCTGCGGGTGACCGGGAGAGAGGGTGCTTGGGAGTGCAAATGGGGGTGATTGGGAGTGAGGGCGGGTGGGCGGGTTGGGGGTGGACGAACCTGGATGCATGCATGGGTGACGCGCTGCTGCCCCACCTCTACTGCCTCATGGACCAGGTGGGTGTCTGGGGGTGGGCGGCTGGGAGATAGGGTGACTGTGAATGAATGTGTGAGCTGCTGTACCCCGATGCGTGCATGGATGATGCGCTGCTGCCCCACCTCTACTTCCTCATGGACCAGGTGGGTATGTGTGCGTCCATGCTTGAGGCGCCTCAGAAAAAAGCTGTACTCGGGTGCTTGCATGGGTGATACCCACCTGCCCCACCTCTACTTCCTCATGGACCAGGTGGGCGGGTAGGGGGTGGGCGGCTGGGAGATAGGGTGACTGTGAATGAATGTGTGAGCTGCTGTACCCGGTTCGTGCATGGGTGACGCGCTGCTGCCCCACCTCTACTTCCTCATGGATCAGGTGGGCGGGTGATGTGGGGGTGACTGGGAGAGAGGATGACTGCGAATGAGTGTGTGAGGGTGATTGGGTGCAATGGTGATTGGGAGTGATAGTGATCATATCAAAAGGAATCTCCTTGTCCATGTTGTCTCCCTCTCATGTGTTCCTCGTGTTTCCTCCGCCACCCGTGCTTCCTCTCCCATTTCCCCTCCCCATGGTGTGAACCCCACTGGGCACCGCTGTGCCACCAGGTGGAGTCAGATCCCTCGCTCTGGTTCAATGATGCGCAGCCATCCGAGGCTCTCAAGGTCAGCTCCCTGCAAATACATTCTCACATGCCCTGTCACTTGTCTTCTCACATGCCCTCGCACATGTCTTCTCGCTTGGCCGCTCGCATGCCCTCTCACATGCCTTTCCATAAGCCTTCCCGTAGGCCTGAACACTGACGCGCTGTTTCTGGTGCATTCCTCGCACTCCCATGCGTGTGCACAACTTTCTCTCACCACGCGCACCATGTCCGTTGACTTTTGAAGCGCCTCATAAGTTGGTTCTTGTGCACTCCTCTCCTCGCGCTCCCACGCGTGTGCAGAACTTCCTGTTCATGACGCTGACCGTATCGGATGCGGCATCAGAGGTGCTGGCGGGGCGGGACCGCCTGGTGCTGCAGCTGCTCACACAGTACGGGCTGGCGCTGCTCACACTCATCTGCCATGACAAGGCCTGGGAGGACAGCCACAACTTCGTCGGGCCCACCGGGCTGCAGCAGGTGGGTGTTTGGGCTGCAGCAGGCGCGTGTTTGGGCTGCAGCAGGTGGGTGTTTGGGCTGCAGCAGGTGGGTGTGGGCGATGCAGCAGGTGGGTGTGGGAGAGGCAGCAGGTGCGTGTTTGGGCTGCAGCAGGTGGGTGTTTGGGCTGCAGCAGGTGGGTGTTTGGGCTGCAGCAGGTGCGTGTTTGGGCTGCAGCAGGTGGGTGTTTGGGCTGCAGCAGGTGGGTGTGGGCGATGCAGCAGGTGGGTGTGGGAGAGGCAGCAGGTGCGTGGTTGGGATACCTAAAGGCCGAAGCCCACACAGTACGGGCTGGCGTTGCTCCCATCTCCACTGCTCCCTTCTCCTCTCTCCCCCGCCCCTCCCCCTCTCCCACTGCAGTTCCTGATGGACATCTCATTCCTCAAGGAGGTGGCGGCATGCTACCACTTCACATCACGGCAGCTGCAGCAGGTGGCGCCCTGTCCACTGACTTTTGAGTCGACTAAAAAGCCAGCCACTGCCGCCACCTCTCTCCTTCTCTCCCTCCCTCCCTCCCTCCCTCCCTCCCTCCCTCCCTCCCTCCCTCCCTCCCTCCCTCCCTCCCTCCCTCCCTCCCTCCCTCCCTCCCTCCCTCCCTCCCTCTCACTGCAGTTCCTGATGGACATATCGTTCCTCAAGGAGGTGGCGCTTCACTGCCTGCTCGGCCCATCCTCACCACTGTCCCCCCACTCCCCCCTTTTTACCCATCCAGTTCCTGATGGACATATCGTTCCTCAAGGAGGTGGCGGCGCGCTACCACTTCACATCACGGCAGCTGCAGCAGGTGGCCGACACCAGCATGGAGCGCGCCCGCGAGTCCTTCGACCTCAACCGGTCAGTGCAGGGGTGGTGGGGATGTTGGATGCTGGGGATGAAGATGGGGATGGGAAGTGGGATGGCAGCTGCAGCAGGTGGCCGACACCAGCATGGAGCGTGCCCGCGAGTCCTTTGACCTCAACCGATAGGCGTGGTTGGTGGGGCAGTGGGAGGCTGCGGATGGCTATGGGGCCCCATGCAATGTCGCTCTTGCATGCAGACCCACTACCATGCAAACTTACTACCCTGCAAACTCACTGCTTTTCATACGCGTTCTGCAATGTGCTGCAGGGAGTGCCCGGGCGATGAGAAGTTCAGAGAGCTGGCTCAGCAAGCGATTGAAAGGCATCTAATTGACAAAGGCTATCAATAGCCACACAAGAAAAGGTTGATTTTAGCAGGCATGCTGTATAATATGTTTCCTCTACTTCATAGAATTGACAGTAGTTTGTGAAGAAAATACCTCTGCAATCAAGAACAGAGCATCCAAATCCAGCTTACATTGTCAATACGCATTAGCCTTATTTAGTACATGTGTAAGGAAAATTCCTTTTCCTTACTTCGCATCCCTGCTCAACGCGTACATCACTGTAGCACCACAGTCAGCACCGTTACCACTCGCAACCCTCACATCGACAATCCGCCCGCCACCTTCGCACATCGCACCCCGACCTCACGGCTCGGCGAGTAACCCGCGCTCCGGGCCTCCGCTTCGACACTTTTTCCCAACCACAGTCCCAGGCCCGTCGCGCGACAACCACAGTCCATTACCGTTACCACTGTAGTTTCGCTATATATTCTTCGCTCATGCCTTCGCTCATTGTACTCTTGCTTCGATAGTGCAATTCTCGTTCGTTCACTCAATTGCACTCGTAACACTTGGTATTCAGAGCCTACGATCTCCTCTCGGACCGCACCCACACCTTCGCTTCCCCACTATCTCAATTTTTTGGGGGGGGGTAGACGTCTCTCAGCGACACAGCACCGCCGCTCGTAGTGCTCTCTCGTAAGCACGCACGGCCACGACCGAGGCTCTCGCTGAGCTCGCCCGACACCCCCGCCATGGCCGAATTCACGCTCGCCACATTGACGCAGGAGCAGCTTGACCGTCTGGTGCGCCAACTTGAAGATTCGGCGCTCGAAATTGCGACGCTCACGGCGGAACGTGACTCCGCACGTCAGCAATCCACGGTGAACATTCCAGCGCCACCACACGTACCGACAAATGCATCTGCACAATCGGACGAGCCGATCGTCATTTCGTCCGGCACACCAACGCAACACGACAGCGTGGGACAGCGCTCAGGCGCAGCCAGTGATGGCGCCGCCCAGCCGATGCCTGGCATGGGAGGAAACAGGGTCGCACCAAGCCCGCGGGAGCCTCGTGAAGCCCGTCGGCACGTGGAGTCCGCGGCGACAAGTGGCGAACAGGCCATTATGGCACCTATGCCACTCAAGCCGCAACGCCCGCCCTGCTTCGACCCAAGCCAACGTGGAGGTCCGACGGTTCAATCGTGGGTCTTCACGATGAATGTCTTCTTCGACGCGAATTACGTCGAGTCGGACGCAGCGAAGATTCGGTATGCCGTTTCGCTGTTGAGGGGCCCCGCCATGGACTGGTGGCGAGTCATCGTGACGTCGCCACGCGCCTACGAGCCACCGTCGCAAGAGGAAGGGCCCACGGGCCCAGCTGTCACCTGGAGTTCATTCTGCGAGACCGCCCAATACAGCACGTGGGATGCGTGGTGCGCAGGGCTTCGGGCGCGCTTCGAGCCGATCGCGGCTTCGATTTCAGCGCGTCAGAGATTGCGCACTTGGCGGCAGCTTGGATCAGTTCAAGACTATACGAGTGGTTTTCTCGCATTATGCGAGCAAGTCGGCTACATGCACGAAGCGGAGCAGGTGGACCGTTACGTCGGGGGGCTGAAGCCGGATATCTCGCATGAAATCATACTACGCGGGCTCTCGAACTTCAACGAGATTCTCGCGCTCGCCGAGAAAATCGACATTTTACGCCGTCCGAGACCGGGGTCCTACTATGGACATCGTCCTCGGGGACCGATCGAGCACGCCACTGTACACGCTGTTGCGACGAATGCAGCTGCCGCGCCGTTTAAGGGGCGCTGCTTTGCTTGCAACAGGCCGGGCCACCGCAAGAGCGAATGCCCAGAGGAGCTAAGGCACCGCGGAGCAGAGCAGGGGAGGGAGTCTCCAAAGCAGGGAAACGCCAGCAGTCAGTAGGAATCGGGCCAACTACTGACGAGACTGCCTGCTCGCCCAACCCCACCGACCCTCACCGAGTCACAGTACCGATTCATGCTATCGATCGGACTCGGACGAATAAGGAGGGTACAGCGACGGATTGCCCAGTACTGATCCACGGGAAAATACAGGGAGCAGCAGTGAAGATTTTTATCGACGGAGGAGCAAGCCACAGTTTAGTTAATACCGCAACCGCACGAAAACTACAGCTGACACTTAGCCGTTGCTTACCAGAGATAGACGCACGCTTAGTCGACGGCACGCCACTGGCTATACGGGAAAAGGTAAAGAGAGTCAAAATCCGCTGGGGGGGAAATTTCGGGTTTACACAGGAAATGCTCGCAACGACACTCGATGGGCACGATATTTTACTGGGACGTGATTGGCTGCGACGGTATAACCCGCGAATTGACTGGACGACGGGTAGCTGCACCGTGCGAAGTAGTGGTAACTGGGTCGAGCTACCTCGCTGGCGGTCGCCCGAGTCTTCAACGGTACACGTCAACGCCATCACAATGAAACGGGCTGTCGCTGCTGGAGCTGACGTGTACGCAGTAGACATCACAGTAGTAGAGGAAGCGGAGCAGCCGAGTGATTTCAAGAAACTGCTGGCAGCCGTACCGCCCGAATTACAGGAACTGTTGAAACGATACCCCGGGATTTTTCCCGACGACTTACCGGAAGGACTGCCACCTCAGCGAGCACATGACCACCGAATCGAATTAGAACCGGGGGCACAGCCAACCGTACAGCGCCAGTTCAGACTGACACAGCCCGAGCTCGATGAACTAAGGAAGCAGTTAGATTACCTGTTACAGAAAAAATTCATCAGACCGAGCTCGTCACCGTTCGCCGCACCGATACTATTTACGCCGAAAAAAGACGGGGGTTTTCGCATGTGTATCGACTACAGATCACTGAACAGGGTAACAGTCAAGTCGCGGTACCCCATTCCCCGCGCCGACGAACTGATCGACCAACTGCGAACAGCACGGGTTTTTTCGAAAATCGATTTACGGGGAGGTTACCATCAGATTAGGGTCGAACCATCGGACTGCGCCAAAACAGCTTTCAGGACTAGATACGGGTCGTTCGAGTACACTGTGATGCCATTCGGGCTGACCAACGCACCGGCGACTTTTCAGATGACCATGAACGAGGCATTTAGGCCGCTCTTAGATAAGTGCGTAATAGTTTACCTCGACGACATTCTAGTGTACAGTCGGGATAAGCAGCAGCACTTAGCAGATCTGGAAGCAGTGTTTAAGGTTTTAGACGAGCACAGATTACTGACCAAAGGTTCCAAGTGCGAGTTCTTCCAGGATAGGTTAGAATTTTTGGGGCACGTTATTTCGGAGGCTGGAGTTGAAATCGACCCAAAGAAGCTGGATACGGTAAAAGCGTGGCATCCCCCGACGAACATCACGGAGCTGCAGAGCTTTTTAGGGTTCGTTAATTATGTGCGTCGGTTCGTCCCCGATATGGCACGGTTAACTGCCCCACTGACGGATTTACTGCGAAAGGGGGTCGCTTTTACGTGGGGGGAGAAAGAGCATGCTGCCTTCTCTGCCCTGAAAAATGTTCTCTGTTCACCGCCCGTCCTGCGCATCGCCGACCCACACCGCCCATTCGAAGTAGTTACCGACGCAAGCGATATCGCCATCGGAGCCGTACTGCTACAGGATTTCGGCAATGGCCTACAACCTATCGCATACGAGTCACGAAAACTGCATCCGCCCGAGAAAAATTACCCGATACACGACCGCGAAATGCTTGCGATCGTGCACGCGTTCAAAGTATGGCGCTGTTACTTGACTGGCGCGGACGTGACAGTACGGACAGACCATAAATCACTACAGTACCTTCGCGCACAGCCACACCTCAACCCACGACAGATTCGCTGGCTCGATTTCCTCGAGTCCAACTTTCACTACACGGTCACTTACAAAAAGGGAGTCTCGAACATCGCCGACGCACTGACCCGCCCCACTGCCCAGATCCACGCAATACTACTCGCCCAGACAAGCCCGCTACTGACAGGCCTATTCACCGACGGGTACCAAACGGATCCATTCTTCACAGGAGGAAATTCGCAGCAGTTCGCAGCAGCAAAGGGAGTCTATTACGTAAAAACCGGGACTGACCGCATCTGGGTGCCTGGGTATACACTGCTTCGGGAATTACTATTACAGGAGGCACACGACGGAGTTACCTCGGGGCATTTCGGAGTAGAAAAAACACGGCAGCAGCTGCAGCGGTATTATTACTGGCCCGAAATGTTGACCGACGTACAACGACACGTGGCACCGTGTCCCACTTGTCAGCTCATGAAATCATCACGACAGCGGCCGGCGGGACAGTTGCAGCCGATACCACCCCCAGAACGTGCTTGGCAGCAGGTGACGATGGACTTCGTCACGGGGTTACCAGCCGGGGCGAGTGGGAACGACGCGATCCTGGTCGTCGTCGATCGACTGACGAAAATGGCACATTTCGCAGCCTGCAAAAAATCAATCACAGCCGAAGAAACAGCACGCCTCTTCATCTCCACCGTCGTTCGACTGCACGGGATACCAGCCGCGATCATCAGCGACCGCGATACGAAATTCACTAGCAACTTCTGGCGGAACCTGTGGCAGCATTTCGGCACGCGACTACAGTTCAGTTCATCATACCACCCCGAAACCGACGGACAGACAGAACGGACAAATCAGACCATGGAACAGCTCATCAGGGCCACGTGTGACGACCCGACCACCTAGGAACAGCAACTGCCACTAATCGAATTCGCGTACAACAACTCGCCATCTACCACGACCCAACAGTCACCATTTTACCTAAACTACGGACAAGACCCGACAGTACCCATGACCCCGAATCCCGACAACCCAGTACCACGAGCACAACAGTTCGCCGAAATATTACAAGCAGCACGGACCCGGGCAGTAGACGCAATAAAAAAATCGAACATCATCGCTAAACGCAACGCCGACTGCCACCGCAGACCTGTCACTTACCAGCCCGACGACTTAGTTTTACTTGACACT